AAATAGTTAACAGTAATTTTTTAAAGATTTGTATGTTTCAGTTTTCCTAGAAACCCCAACATAAAAGAAAAGTGGATTGACGCAAGTGGTAGAAATGCTCAATGGTTTCCTTCTAAAACTAGTTGCATTTGTTTAACACATTTTTCTGAAAATGATTTTATTAATATTAAATGATAAATAAAATAATATGATAAATTACTTATATATTTGGAATGAAATATTATGTATTATATCTAATTTTCTAGTTATATTGTCAAATTAAATGTTATATTGGGATATAAATATAGTTTCAATGAGACTTCTTAGTTATTATTTTCCTTTCTTAATATATTGTGCTTCATATAATACAAAGTTAGTAAAAATAATAATTATGATTAAATATACAAAAAAAAAATAACTAGGTATCAAAAAATAAAACTATGACTTTATAATAGAAAAAAAAGCTAATTAAAATTATAAAAATCTAGCCCCTAAAGGGCCAAATTCTCATCACTGTCACCTGCCCTTGATATGTGACTCCGTTCTACTAACCTACTTCTGATTATTCTGCAGTTACATTACTACTTTAGCAAGATAGGAATTGGTCTAATTGATCGAGCCGTTTCAAGTGAAGGTTGATTACATACATTGTGAAATTACATACATATGGTATTTATTTTCATTGGATTTTTTTTTGTGACAGTTGCGAAATGATAAATTAATAAATTATTTTATTATATTAATGATTTTCTGATTATCGATATCAAATCACTATTTTAGTGTTGACAGAAGCGTAAAATTCTTTGCATTATATTTTGAAAAATTGTTTTAATGCAGATACGTCGTGAAATAACATTTTTATATAATGAAACATGTATTTCAAATGTTTGCACATTAACTTATTTAATATCCGCGCACAAAATATAATATTTAGAACTAACAAAAGTAATTGTGCAGATTTTTATTATAGCTAGCCATACATTTTGTGTATTACTGTAAAATCACCTGTATTAATAGGCTAGTATACACTAATTTTGCTGAAACTTTTGTAGCCAATGGTAGCATCTCTCTCTTTGTGAGCTGAATATGTGAAGTTTTACGTCTGTGTGATATCTGGCACTCGCGGTCCTAGTACTAATGTTAGTACGTTATTATTATTCTAACCTTTTTATTTGTTCTGTGGGCCTCCTCTAACAGTTTCCTCTGAGTTCATCCTTCGCTACTCTTCTCCATTGGTTTAGATCATCTGTCTGTGGTTTTAGATAGCTGTGAGTTTTAGATCACCTTCAATCACCTTCCCATCTCATATGTTGACATCCTCTTATGCGTTTCCCATCTCTCAGATATCATTCTGATATAATTTTGCTCCATTTTTCCTGTTTATCTCGAAACATGTGTTCTGTCCATCTGCATTTATGTTGATCTATTCGAGTAAATTTATCCGTTAATTTAGTTTTTCTCTTATTATGCTGCTGCTCACCCTGTCTTGTTTCTTTATTCTTACTATGTATATCTCTGTGACTTTAACATCGTTCCCTCTTTTCTCTATGGGTTTTGGTTTTACGGTTTCACACCCTTGGGTGATAACTGGAAGTATACAGGGGTTGAAGGTTTTCCTTTTTTAGCCTCACACTCAACCCCTTGTTTTCTAATTTTTTTTTTTTTGTGGCCAGTATTTTTTCCACTCATTTGCTATTCTTCGGTTTATTTATTTGTGTTTGGTCTTGGAGGCAGATAATTTACCCCAAATAAAGATATTTGTCTACGTATTCGAGTGGTTGGTTTTATATCACTATATCTGTTGGGAAGTTTGTGATCAATATCGTTTTGTCTCTGTTTATAGTTAAGAACTGTAAGTTACGGTCTACAAAAAGAAAGCTAATAACTATAAAGACAAAATATTTATTAAGAAAATATCGACAAATGCGTTTATTTAGTTTTGTTAAAAAAAAGTGCGGTCGGATTTTGTTTTAAAGTGCCAATATACGCTGCTAAGCGCAAAGAACAATAAATTGCAAGAATAAGAAAATATAATATTTTTTAAAATCTCAATCCGGGAGTTGACAAAATTTAAAAACTTCATCATCATGTATTTTAAATTAATGAGGAAGTATTTAAAAAAAAAGGAAAGCACTAAAAAAGCACCTCTACTAGATGGCAACTCTAACAAAAGTTGATTTTTGCAGGAAACGAATGGACCTTATCAAGAGTTTTTAAGGATGACTACAGACAAGGTTCCAATAGAAATGAGATATTCTAAATGGCTTTGAATTAAGGCATTATGCAATTGTTTTCGACAAAACGGATGGGCTCCCCACCAAACACCCGACAGGTATCGGATTATATTTTATTCGCATTTTTAACCACATGAGCGATGTAGTGGTATCCTATCATTTGAGAGTCCATGATCGGTTCATTATTATGGTAATGGGATGGTAGAAGAAGCAACTTCAATACTTAAAGGAACTGATGATAGTGCTAATTAACATTGAAACCCTTTGTCGGACCAAAGGCATATATGCTTAAAACTAACATCGGAACTAAGTACACATACTAGTGCATTTAGGGACCCTAAGCGCACCGACTGCGACGAATATAACAAACATCTTGGACGGAACTTAGAAGAAAATCCTAAATGCATTAGAACGGTTGAGAGCATTGGATTTGCGGTGGAGGCTGTCTCTAAAGGCATTAAAGATGCCTTCGAGGATAGCTGTACACCCAAAATCAAGTCATCCAAACGGAAAGTACCGTGGTGGAACTCAAAGCTGAAAAGGCTTAGGGAGAAGACACGAAGGTTATTGGAATCAACTGGGCCAAAATTCTCCAGGAATGGGGCTGGAGAAAAGCCGCTCTTATTATTGGGCCTGGAATAGTGAAATGGGCCATTAACTCGTTCAAACCTTTTAAGCGGGGGGAATTGACGGCGTGGCGGCGGTGCTTTTACAGCGGGGTGCCGCCAATCTCATCCCTTATCTAGTACAAAACTTCAGAGCCAGTTTTGCCTGGGGATACATTTCAGAATAAGGTGAAACGTGAAACGGGCTAAGGTGAAAGTCGTGTACATACCTAAAGCTGGAACGAAGGACTACACATCACCAAAGTCCTTCAGGCCAATCAGCCTTACATCATTTCTACTAAAGACCATGGAGAAGGTATTAGACAAGTTTATCAGACAAGGGAGTCTCATCAACAAACCCATACATGAAACCCAGCACGCCTACCGAAGCGGCAGATCTACAGAGACTGCCCTACTAAACCTTATAAACAAGGTTGAAAAGGCACTGGACGATAAAGAAATAGCACTCGTTGTTTTCTTGATGTGGAAAGAGCGTTCGATAATACGCCCACCGAAACATTAGTAAGAGGACTAGTCCATAAAGAGATTGACTCCACTACTGTAAGATGGATAAGGGCCATGCGAGTAGGACAGTGAGGATGGAACTACTCAATGATTCACTAGAGTCAGCAACAACAAGAGGATGCCCGCAAGGTGGAGTACTTTCTCCGCTACTGTGGACTCTTGCGGTGGACCAGCTCCTCCATAAGATGGCTGAACTCCGCTTTGACACCCTGGGCTATGCCGATGACCTGGTGGTGATATTGAAAGGAAACTGTCAAAGTACGCTATTGTACCTTATGCGGAGGGCGCTGAACACAATTAACTCATGGTGCAAACACAATAGTTTGTCGATGAATGCAGGCAAAACCGTGATCGTCCCATTCACAAGGAAACGAAAACTGAACAAGCTTTCGCCTCCAACCATGAATGGATGCTCATTCCGTTCTCGACGGAGGTAAAGTATCTGGGGGTAACACTGGACCAGTAACTTACCTGGAACGCACATGTAGACGGAATTATATAGAAGTCTAAAAGAGCTCTGATGATATGTTGCCGGCTAGCGGGAAATACATGAGGTTTGAAACCCAATATAGCCCTCTGGATCTACACAGCCATCATAAGGCCGATGGTGTCTTACGCCTCGGTGGTTTGGAGTAGAAAAACGACACAGAGTACTATTATATCAAGACTTAACAGTCTGCAGAGGACTGTCTGTCTTATAGTAACAGGAGCTATGTCTTCCACCCCGACTGCTGCTCTTGAGGCTCTGCTAAACCTGCCGCCCTTACATCTACACATTGAAATGGTGGCGAGGGCTAGTATGTACAGGGTCACTATCATGGAGACGAAGACATGGCTGTCATGTAATTTGAGGTACCTAAAGGACTCAATATACAATATACCAATCTTAGGGATGCTTGCTGACACCATGTCCCCGAGAGTCGATTCCCACGGGTCATATCTTGTGGAGATACCCACCAGGGACGACTAGTCAAACAATCGTATAATATGGCAAAATGGAAACTTGTGGTACACTGTCTGCACCAAATCCGGCCCTGAGGTAGGATGTTGAATGTATGGAGAAGCCCCAAGGAAGGCTACTCCTAAATATTCCAGGCGGAGGTGTACGTCATTTTGGAATGTGCGGCAGCCAATCTGCAAAACAACTAGCTCAATCGTACTATCTACATTCACTCTGATAGTCAAGCTGCACTCTTAGCACTAGCCTCCGACGAAACTAGATCGAAGCTGGTCAAGAACTGCAAACAGGCATTGAACTCTTTGGGCAACAACAACAAAGTAGTTCTACGATGGGTTCCAGGTCACGCTGGGCACGAGGGCAATGAACAGGCGGACAAACTCTCGAAGAAGGGTGCTAAAGACGCCCTTCTCGCACCAGAACCGTTCTGCGACATCCCTCAAAGCTTAACGCAGCTAACCTTGAAAACGTACTGCCATAATGCAGTTATTCAACTATGGAGAAACACTCCCGGTATGAAACACTCTAAGACCCTGATTAAACTTTCAGCAAAAAGGCGGCATCAGAGACCTTAAACCTAACCAAAATAACCTTCGCACACAAGTACGAGCACTCACAGGACACTGTGGACTGAACAGACACATGTACAACATCAGGATCAGCGGCAGTACAGTGTGCAGACTATGCAAGGAAGAGGAAGAATCACCCTTGCACATTTTGACTGATAGCCCCTCGCTAATGCGCAAATGATGCATCTGTCTGGGGAAGCATGACGCATGTTTTGCTTAAAAAACAATGTATTTTTTCCTTCATACTAAATATATGTACAAAGAATAACTTATAAATTCTCAAAGTAACAAGTAATAAAAAACCCCTGAACTTATTAAAATTAAACTTACAACAATTCCACATGAAAATAAACAAATATTCATAACAAATCTTATAATGTTTATAATCAAACAAAATCAACCTTAATTTACAATGTAAAGCACAAATAACTAATATAATAAAAAAATGTAGTACGTCACATGGGATGCAACTTTGAAAAACCAATTTAAATATTTATAAAAAATATACTATTATTAAATAGATCAGTTCTTTCTATCCATTTGGTAGCGTTGACACTAATATTAGGCAGATGTCTGAACATACATCAGTACAAGTAAATAGAGCCCAAATTATTTAATAATTATCTAAAGCAAAAAGAAATGACATTGATACATAAGTTCTAGATTAATTTGTTTTCAGTTTTAGTGGTCGCGCACCAAATATATTAGATCCAACTCTCACTGTTGTAGCTCCTAGTTCAATCTGCAAACAAATATATAGACAATTGTAAGAACAATAGAAAATAACTGTTAATCTGTGTAGAAAAATATTTCAGAAACATTCATAAAACTTACCGCATGTTCAAAATCTGTTGACATTCCCATAGACAGTTCCACTTGGTTGATATCTAATTTTAAATTCTCGCAGACTTCTTGACGGCATTTTACAAGAGTCAGAAAATCTGGATTAGGACCTTTAGACATATCATAGTCATATTGGCCAATAGTCATGAGTCCAACAAATTCGAGATTCAGACAACTTTTCAAAATATGTTCTACCAATTTTGTTGATTGTGATGGTTCTATGCCATTTTTAGCTGAAAAATAAAATATCATAATGTATTACAATGAAACATAAAAAAAAATCAGTAAAGTGAGCATCTTTAATACCCATACCTTCTTCAGCACTTGTGTTTACCTGGACCATAATTTTCAATCTCTCTTCATCTTTTCTGAACTTTAACCAGTGCTTGTTTAAATTATCAGCAAGCTTCTCAGAGTCAACAGTCTCAACCATAAAGAGTCCAGGTGACCCAAGTAATTTATTAATTTTATTAGTCTGTAAATGTCCTATAAAATGCCATTTTATCTCCTTGCATTTCTCTAAAATAATTGTGTCACTAGCTTTATCTGCTAGTTCGTTCACATAATTTTCACCAAAATGCCTCTGGCCTCCTTCATATGCTTCGACTATCATAGAAGCAGGTTTTAATTTTGATACGGCTACTAGTCTAGGTGCTACTTGAGGTAGATCCTACAAAAATAATATAATTGAACTCCGTTTACTTATATATAATCTAAAATGAAACTTGGGCAATCGTAAAACTTACTTTACTTCTCCTAGCCACTGCTGCCTCTATTTGAGAAAGAACTGTTTTTAGGCCGTACATTAGATCAACTTCTTGGTTAACTTCGTCGGACATTATTAACGAAATACTACGTTTTGAAGTTATGATAAACTTATCATTATCTTAATAAATGTTGAATCAGAACCAAAGAGTAAAGTTTATATTCTGAATCTTCAAGAAATCAATGAGAAATCATAAATAAACCATAAGTACACACGACTGCACGTCAGGCTACCACAATACGTCAAACAAATTTCCTCAATTGACTTAGAACTCTACCCCGAAAATATTAAGATTTAAAATTAAGTGAAGCAATTTGATTTCATTTAGAAAAAATGTCTTGTATCGAGAACTTGTCAAGAACCAAGGGTTGGCTTTTATAAAGGAACGAAAAGCGCAAACCGCAAATGACATGTTAAGTGCCGATTTCACTACCCAATCTATCGGGCACGATATATCGGCCTCGATTTAGGGCGGTTGGCGTCGTTGTAATTACACTGCACTAGATCGCCTCCCTAACTCAGTTGGCATTGGCATTAGTATCTCTTATTCGTCTGTGGTTGGCATGCAAACGCGGCGTTGAAAGGATGTCTCCTGCGCTCACAAAGTACCTAAAAATTGGCATAGTCCATAATTTAACTGCGGGCGTAAATAATAAAACTACAAAAGAAAATGTTGGGTGAAAAAATATTTGCTTCTTAGAGACAAACTATGCAGTTTGAACTACTTCAGCATGAGTTCTGTACAATTTGATCATATATTAAACTTAGTCATACCTTGTATAAAAAAAAACTACTTATACTAGAACTAGTTTAAGCGCAAAACAGCGGTTAGTTGTGCTGAAACCTGTAAAACATTATATATATATATATAATAAGAAAAAGTTATAATATTAAATTGCATTTACATTTAATATTTCTTTTTCCTTTTGAGAAGACATTTTTCTCTGTTCGCAAATTTCATTGTCGTTCACTGACGTCTCACACGCGCGCTGCGCAACAACCGACTGAGCGCTCTAACACCCTAACAGCGATCACATTCCCTGATAAATCGGCCCTGACTCACATCTTCCCAATTTACAATGTACCCGATGGATCATGTGTCTGGTACAATTTTTGATAGCACGGGTTCTGATGTCAATGATTTTAGCGAAATTGAAAATTTATAATTATGTATTATAATTTTTTTATAAATTACAATAATAAAAACTAATGCTCCTCCTTTATATTATTGTTGTGCCCGATAGGGTCCATAGTGAGACTAACTTAATTATGTAATATTATTTTAAATTACCTATGGAAACAATAAACTTATTTAGTATTTATACTTTAAGTCATGTCATGATATGCATTTCCCGTTGCTAAAAATTTTAAGGTTACAGCACAGCTAACCGCTGTTTTGCGCTATATAAGGTATGACTAAATTTAATATATGATCAAATTGTGCAGAACTCATTCTGTAATAGTTCAAACTGCATAGTTAGTCTTAAAAGCAATGTGCAGTGTAATCACAACGACGCCAACCGCCCTAAATCGAGGCCGATATATCGTGCCCGATAGATTGGGTAGTGTAATCGGCGCATTAGTCTATTCGCCGCCGGGGTGCGGGTCTCAGATTTGATACGAGCTCACTATAAGACTAATTATTATAATTATAATTTTAATAAAATTATAATTATAATTTATAGACTGTAGATTTCGAAACGCAGTACACCTACTGTCAAATAATATCAATGTCAATGTCATTGATTCAATCGATTTTTCATAAATGTCAGCTGCTTGTTTGTTCGTGCTTTGTTTGCGTTCTGTGAAAATTTAGTTTTTGATAAAAATGTGTAAAGTATGATTTATATTCGTATATCTACGCCTGGTTTGATTTTATGAAGCCATGAACGTCTTGGAAAAGGCAGAGAAAGCTTTAGAGTACTTGAAAAATAACGAAGGTTCCAATAAGTGAGTGCTCATAATAAAGTGAATTTGACGGTGCCTAACACTTTTTTGGTGTTCCAATAACTTTTACATTTGTCTCATAGGAGTCATGAGCTGCAAGCAGCAGCTGGGACATTGGGGAGATGTCTGGGTGCTCTTGGTAGCCGACCGAATTGTGCCAGGCATTATGCAAATTTATTGCACACAGCAGCCCCTACTTTGCTTGCCTTAGCAAGTAATAACAGTGTGAGTGTCGTTATTCCGCAAAGTAGACCTTACTTCAACAATTCCATATTTGTCCTTATTTTTTTAAGAAAATTGTTTTTATTAGGATTATTGTTCAAAATATTATGTTACATACAAATTGTGTTTAATTTTATACATGATTATTTATCTTGTAGGCAGAGGTTCGTTTGGTTGGCGATGAGGCACTGAATAGGGCTGTGGTTGGAGGTTTTGCATTCCACTCCCATAAAACCAATACAATTTTACAAAATCTCATTGACCACACTAAAAATGCAAGGTATTTGAACATTCTAACACAGGTTTTTGCTTACCTCATTTTAAAATTTCAATGTAATCCATTTATGTGTTTGTAATAGATATATATTATCATTATTATAATATAATTCATTATTATTGTAATTTTAATAAGGGTATTTTCTTGACTTTAGTTTGAAACGGTTACAGATTCTTTCGCTTACTGTTTGAAACGGTTAACATTTTAAAAGTGTTTTTGTTTAAACTTTAATGAATGGATTAACAGTATACAGTCTAAACCATATTAAAAGGGTGTTATTAATTGAAACTGTTAGCCTGCATTAAACGGTTACCTGGGTTTTTAGCGGTAATTCATTTCGGTTAGGGTAAATTATCAAAATATATCTCCTAATACCCAAATTAAATTACCAAAAAGTTTTTTCACATTATTAAGAATTTTTTCAAGTCATGTTATCGATTATGGCGATTATGATTTTCTTTCAATGACACAGTTTATCTGAAGACGTGTTAAAGATATGCTAGAAAATGTAGGTAATTATATCTACTCAGAATGAGGAATGAAACATTCAATATCTGTCAAACACATAAAAACCAAAACAAATTTTTAAAGAGAACTGAAATATTCTGCAACAGATTACTCCGGTTTAACACATTTGATTCTGTAACTGAAATATTTCAAAAACATTATCAAAATACCAAAATGATTTGGAAGCCCATTAACCATTTGCATTATTTATGTTTGGTTAATAACCATAACCATCTGAATCTTGGGTCTGGATAGCCCAGTGGTTATCCAGACTCAGGGTTCAGATTGTTACAGTTTCGCATTCACAATGCCATAATGATAAATATTTTTAAAGAAAAAATTCCTTCCTAAATCCACTTAGTCCCTGTCACCCTGAGATGAGCTTCGATCCCATGAACTTTCGCAATCCGAGGGACTGCTCTAACCACTGAGCTACCCAAGACCATCTTTCAAGCATTTTTCAGTGTAGCATTGTGAATGCGAAATTGATCAAACATAATAATAAAATTAGTTTTAGATTTTAACTTATTATATTAATGACTAGCTTTCCGCCAGCGGCTTCGCCCGCGTAGTCTTGTATTATACATAAAAACCTTACTTTTGAGTCATGTATCTATGAAAAAAAAACTCAAAAGAATTGAGTCTATTGATTGAATATAAATAAATTCTTTAATTTTATCTATAGATGGATTCGTGCGGCTCTAACACGTGTTTGCCTAGGAGATTGTTGGCTTAGACCTGGCTCTGGCAAAATTCGGTCACAAGCACAGACTTTGTTCCCAAAACTAACTCAGATAGTACAACAGACAAAGGAAATTCAACTTATTGTGGAAGCACTAGAGAGCAATTTGCCAAGAATCTTGACAGCTCTGGCTGAATATACTACAGATGAAGAAATTTCTGGTAAATATTTTGACATTATTTAATAAATAAACTTAATATCACAAACTACATAAGAACTACTGGTATCTGAAAAATAATTTGGGATTTAAATGATTAGAATCATAAAAAATAAGGTACTGGATCAGTGATGTTTAGAGATACACATTTTAATAAACTAAAATTTAGAGAAGACAGATGGCCATTTCAGTTTGATGTAATCTTTTTGATGTCTGCAATTGCCGAAACTCAAATATAAAATTAGTAGTCTAAGGAAATATGTAAACACACTTCTGTTAATCTTTCTTTAGCAACATCTACTAAACTATTGTCTGCAGAGTGACAGGTAGCAAGTAAAGGCTGAATGCTTAGTGTAAGAATTTGCACTGTGCTACTGCTGTTGAGACAATTCATTGTCTCTTTCCCTCAACATTCTTATTTTCACTTATTACTTTTTATTCCTCTGGTCTTTTTCCTTTCAGAGTTGTCTAAGTCACTTCTGTCACATGTTGATTCAAGTGAGCCTGCAGTAAGAAGAGGAATATCATCATGTGTAGCTCATCTTTGTCTACATAGAGATTTACTGCTTACAAGTGTACTGACTAAAGTTTATGGTGAGAAAGATAAATAGCATCTCCAGAGTTTGCTACTACTTTAATAATAGAATAAATCATGGTTCACAAAAACCCGATATTTATAACAAATATCAAAATATCCAATATTTGGTATATAACCGAGATATATCATGCTAATGAAAAGCTTCGATTATTAAGCTGCTGCTATGGGCTGTTTTTAATATTTGATCTTTTAAAATTTCGAAATTTCGCTAATGTTGCCAACGTCACATCGGGTTGGTTAATTTTCTAACTGAGACTTAATACTCAAACTAACAATAAATATTATAAATATCAATGATATATATCAACGTATATATCAATCGATGTATATCCGTTAATATTTATTTGCAATCATTGGAATAAATAGCGAAATTGACTCGGTAGTGTTTTAAATAAATAAATTAAATGATAAGATATTTTTAATAACATATTTTTAACCAGAAAAGCTTTGGCCGACGTCATACGACAATGCAACTGTAATGGGCTGGTTTTGTGTCATCAAAGCCATATTCCAGTTGAACGATATATCGAAGTTCACTGAAAACGACTTGTTCGGCGTTGAAGATTATTTAGAGGTGAGAAGTTTCTGACTGTGAAGTGATGATTTTACTTTTTCATACAAAATTTATTCTTAATAATTATTCAGACTTACGAGTTTTTTATCTATGCTATTTAATACGATTTTATGCCAAATACATATTATTCAAAATTAAGGTTATGCCATTCTCTGTTCTGAATGACAAAAAAGTTTTACTTTAAAGGGTGGAATAATCCTCTTATATTTGTTTTCTAATTTATTTCAGTTATATCAACTTTGCATACATTACATAGAGCAGATTGAAAATGATCACAACATTCAGAATGCGGTCACTGAATGCCTCACTGTGCTTCTTTCTCAAGCTTCAGGAGAATATAGGAAAGTCCTCATTGAAAAGCACCCTGTTGTTGTCTCTTTAGATGAGAGGCAAAGTGGAAAAGGCCACAGAAGGAATATAAGTAAGTTAATTAATTTTTAACTCTTTACACTCTTTTTCATAAAATTGGATATAGAAAATTATTTGAAAAGGTTGGTCCTAGTATGGCCATTACCAAAGCTGAATAGTAACTGCAAATGTAGTGCCAACAATTGCGCCCAATTTTGCAAGATTGCGTTAAGAATATTGAACTGAAGAATGCCAGAATTGAATAGACATATCTTATTTCGAGATTTTGTAAGAAATTTATAGTTTTATTATTCTAATTCGGTTTAAAGATCTTTATTTCTCATCAAGACAATCATCACTTACATGAGAACATAATCTTTGTTAAAAATATGGAGCAATAATGATAATTATATTTTCAATGTTATAACAAGTTTCATTTCCACGTTTGTATTACCAAACGGCTCTGCAGTAAGATATTCTATGTCAAATGAAACTATGCATTCCTAAAATTTTCATTATACCTGTTTGCAATACGAGCCTAATGAAGAGAAACAATATTACTTTCTAAGGTTCCACAAGTGTGATATCAGCTCGATACATTCCTAGTCCCGCATCAGAGCCACGTGATCAGCTCGAGCTTTCGTTCAAAGGCGAATTACAACTAGGCAGTCTCCTACAACTCAACACGCCAAGTTTAAGTGTTGAGGATTTAAGTATACAGGTAAATTTGTGGAAGTAAATTAATTTATGATGAGTTGATAATTACTTAAATGGAAATACTTGTTCTTAATGAATAAAAATATTATAAAAAATAATTAGTAATATGTATTTATTCCTACAGACGCCTGTGACTCCAGTTAGCGGTACAGATATTCCGCTGCCTACCGCTGAAGAGTTAACTAAAGAAGTAACAGATAGATTGCAAGAGTATGAAGATGATCAAAAGAGTGAAGAAGGCGACCAACCAGATCATGCTGTTGAGTCTGTATTTAAGGTAGGTCTTTGTATGATGGGGCCCCAAAGTAGCGTTGGACCCTTCGGTCTCCTTGCTGAATCCCGGATCCTTCCCCTCACCTACCCATGGTATTACCAGGTAGACTGGCAACACTTTAAACTGCCTTTTTTCAGGACAAGGTGGTTGAAGAGCTCTGGTATAAAGTTTAAGGTGCATTTCCCATGCGTTATAAAAAAAGGATAAAAAATCCTGATTCGTAGTTTCAGTTTTGTATAAGCGGTCGTTCGAAATATGGTCGTAACTTTTACGATAGTAAATGTATTAACCTTATTACTAAAAGAATAAAGGGACGGATTTTTAACTAATAAAAGTGGTTTTCCTATCTACCAATCAACAATATTATACATAAATTACTTAGGTACTGTCAAAATTCGCAGTTTATATTCTAAACTTATCTGTCCATAATTATCATTTTCTTATGCTAAAAGTTTCCTGTTCACACTAGGGAGCTTTGTTTTAACCAATTTCAATCTTGTAATTTATATTTATATATATTTTATTTGCAGATAAACATCGGTAGTTCTTTGGATAATGATGTCCCTTTGAAATACTGTTCAAGGCTTCTAGCTTCGAAATATTTACTGACTGGTAATAAAGGCGATCTTATTTCAGACAGGTAAGAAATGTATAATACTTATTAAATTTTATCAATTTTGCTTTCACAATGCTATATTGATTAAAATATAGCAGTGAAAGTAATAACACCTTGAGAAATTCGGCAGCCCTGTTGGGGCTCTGGAAGCTCAGAGGTTAGACCTAGGGATGCAATAATATATCGGAACACGGATATATATCGACACCCAAAAATATATATCGAAAAGAAAAAAAAAACAATATATCGCAACCTAATATTGAATGAAATCCTAAGAGTAAATGTCTATCAGTTTTCTAAATTTTAACATCCAACGGCATCTTCACATGTGATATTACATTAGTAACACGTGTGACATTATTTGTAACCCTGATTTTTGCCTCGAAATTTGTAGTAATTTATTATTATTATTATTTGTACTAAATTTGAAAATAAAGTGTTATTCCCAATGTTATCGCCATCTATTTAAAGTGGCAATAAGACATTTTCCTATTGTCATCAGGAGCATCCCTTCTGCATGCCTTTCTTTAAAGCAACATGCATAGAATGAAAAGATTAAGGGATCCTTTGTTCACACCAAACGTCACGTTTCTCGGGTTGAGAGTAAATGTGTCATTTGGAGAAAGGTGATATTTTGGTGTAAACAAAACGCTTTCGAGTTCGTCATGTTTCGCGTATAGGATTCAACATTACACGAAGTAAGAACAGGCTAAGTAGCCAGGCAGTAGCCGCCACAAAGTACTGGCCAATTTTTTAAAAATAAATTTTAGATTAGACGTATTTTACATAAGATTTTTGAATTTACTTCAGATTCCAAAAATGTATCAGTAATATATCGGCTTTGTGAAGCGATATATCAATATCGACTGTAACCGATATATATCGGACTCGATATATCGATATTTTTATGAAATTTTCATCTCTAGTTAGAGCAATCGCAGATTATGTGTTCGAGTCCCATCTCGGGGTGCCTGGGATTGTTGAATATTTAAGCATTTTTCATTAAATTCATAATACTTTAATTGCATATTTTCATTCTAGTGTCAGTATTTAGTCTTTAAAACCGACATTTGATCTTCGTGGCATACGACTAAGAACTTAAACTCATTTAAAACTATAATTTAATTATTGTTCGTTTCATACAGACTAAGTTTTTTCTCAGAAACTACAATAAATGAAAAAAAGAATTATGGTATAAAAATATGTAATTGTTTATGAAATCTGTTAAGTGTAATTATTTATTTTTTATCAATGAGCCTAATAGATATCAAGTTAAATTTCGTTTTATTTTCTATAGATGTGTTAGGGTATCAGTAAAGTCTACGGCATTGAATTGCTTCGCGGAAATACTGCGTATATACCCTCAGGCGATGACTATTTACCTCGATAAAGATGCTGATGTCAAAACACATAACATTTCTGGTAAGTGATGATAAAAATGTGCTGTAAAAAATAATGGACGTACTTGCCTAGAAGAGCGAATGATTGCCAATAACCCTTTGAACGTCAAATTTTTCATACAAATTCTGGTTACTGTTGTTACTTATTTTCAAGAGGGTCATTCTACCCTAGCCAAGTAGAGACGGACACCTAATGCGTCGTATTTTACACCATCTGATTGTTAAAGCAAGACTCATTGTAAATATTAATTGTATGTTCGCTCATCATAGAAATTCGCCATATTACTAAGAACATTCAGAATTTTCTCAAATATTAGATGTAAATTGAAATCTTGACCTCTCATTATAGATAGCTTATATCGAATGGCTTCGATTATATTGGCGTTAGCTTGATTCAAATGTACTCAACATTCAATACAATTAAAGCTCTCCAGTAAGGTATATTATTCGTCCTACAAATCGATATCAATCCAAAAACTTATTGCTTACGCGGTGATTTCAATTGTTTTGAATGCATTCTGCATTTGAAACACGAACAATGACACAGATATTATGCGTGCGTTGAAAGAAAACGCGAAACGCTGCGCTTTGTTGTACGGGACGCTATACGTCGCTGCTCCGTGCAACTATAAGGAGTATTCTGCGAAAACGATACAAAGTTCTATGGCTAACGATACGTATAGTATATTATCAGTGTTAACATAATACTATAACTCCGTTTTTCGCCTGTCCTAAAAATATATTATAAACTTCTCTATTTTTGTTTACTTAGGATCATCTGAAGGCACCGATTCTAATCAAGACCACATTAATGATTTTATACTAGAGAGAAATGTATGCTACCAGGATTCTTTAACGGATTCCTTGAGTCAAGACTTGCTTAACCAAAGCAGTGATAGTCAGCCTCTATCTCACCCTATATCAAAGAAAGATAGCAAATCATTAGACAAATCACAAGAAAGTGTCGAACAAAAGAGCTCCTCTAAAGACGTACAAAGTGCAATCTTAGACAGTAAGCTGTACGTGAAAAACGAACTTATTACGAGTGAAATAAGCGACAGTATCCCTAATACTAATATGACGAATAGTAATTTCACTACTAATTCGAACATGACTGGGAGTAACGATCCCACCACCGGTTATCCGATGTCAAGTAGTGGAGACATTTTATCGTCGAGTATCGATTTGGATATGAAGTTCGACCATTTTGGAGAATCTACCACTAATCTTGATCATCTCGGTGCACTGAAAGATTTGGAGAGGAAAGAGGAACGAGTTAAAAGACCGTTGACGCGCACTGATGAAGTTCATAGTAAAGATGCACCTGATGGATTAATTGAGAAGAGCGTTAAAAGTGACGACGCCTTAGACAGTGAAAAAACTTTCGAATCCCAACACATGTCTGATAGTTTTGTGTTACTGGAAGGTCATAGTGATCCACAGATTAGAGGTCTGGTGAGATTGTGTATTGGAAATTATTTGACTGCCGCTTTGGTTCTCTCGCATGGCGATTATCATAGATGGAGGAATTTCAGTAGTCTACCTAAGGATGTCAGCGAGAATATTAGCACTGATAAATTGTTTGCAATAATTTTGAAAGTAAGTTTTGATTTTAGTTTTGTTTAGTAGTACTAAAACAAATTTGACACACTTATTATTTGTGTAAAATTCAAAGATAGCCACTTGATAGATATATCTATGCAAAGCTTAAGTTATGGATTTTTTTATATTTTCACGCGCACTATCCATAAATGAAACAACTTTTAAACTATTTTACCGCGTTTGTTTTAGACGTTTCGGAACTTTTACAGGTTCCGTGATCACATAAGACTAAGATCTTTTTCTTGTCGGAGTTTATTTCGGCAGTTCTTCTCAGAAAAGACTCCCAAAGTTGGGATTGATGGTAGATTACGGTAGCCAGGCGTCAATAAATGAGTCAAATGTATTTAAAAAAAATAAATAATTCATTTTATTAAATGTAAATGTTGCCATAATATATAAAAAAATGTACTGTGAATGTGTCCAATGGTGTTGGTTCTTAAAGGTGGCTTATATATATGTTTTTAATTAAAAAGACAATTAACGCCTTAGTCTTATGTGATCACGGTACCTGTAAAGGATCCGAAATGTCTTCGTCGTCATCCGAAACGAAAACTAAAATTGTTTCATTTAAAGCTTAAGTTACTGGACGGATCTGGCTCAAATTTGTATACACTGTTACTATGCCGTAGTGGTTCGCTTAAAAAGGATTTAGAAAAATTCACACTATTTAAGTAGGTGGCTTGAAAATAAAAAATGTGCGGTTAAAAATTGATAGCAAAAACATATATAATTAATCCAATTTTTCAGGGCCTATCAGATGATATACATTCCACAGTTAATCATACGCTTTCAAGTCTGATAGTTGTAACTCCAGCACTTTGTAACAGTTTACATTGGCCTCTAGTTGCGGACGCGTTGAACGCTCTTGTCAACGTTGAGAATAATAGTTACTGGTTATGCAGGGTTAATTTGTGTAAGCTCTACGAAAAGTTGCCTTATGAGAAGTGAGTATGGTGCATTTTCTTATGGACGATGAATGAACATATAAAATTCTAACGTAAATTCTTTTCTATTCTAAAAAGAGTTTGCATTAAATTTTTGTTTATGGTGTAGCATTAAAGCATTAGTTTATAAGATGAATTAACACGAATATTTTTTTTTTCGAAACTTAACAGTTTGTCAGTTGTTCAAAAGTTTTGAACGTTTGTAACGTAGACGGTCGCATGATTTGGATTATGAATATATTTAATGTCCTAAGTGATATCCTAAGCACAAACATTTTTTTATGAAAAATTATTTCAATGCGCTCTGTTAATATAATAAATTGTTTTTAAATTTAAAGTTACTTTAATTTGCAGATTATTTATGTTGTATGATAACTACCGTCATAAAAGCAAATTAATAATGGACACTTTAATTCGTCTTTTGGGTGATCAAGACCAAAAAGTGAGGAATGCAGCATCACAGACCATCACTAAGTATGTTGAAGGCAACTATCAAAATGGCGCTGCCGTAGCTTCATCCTAACATCCAATCTCAAAAGATATAAACACGAAAAGAAAGAAAATAACGGTCTCGTCTCTGAGTCGGTAAAACAGTTTCTTCAACGTCATTTCGTAGTTTTAAGAAGTATTAGTAGTGTTATTGACTTGACGTCTACGGCTCTATTGGATACACGTTATTGATTGGCTGTTTCCTTTTCTGTGCTTATTTGATTGGACTATACGGAGGCAGAAGCTATGACAACGCCATCTGCGATTAGTTTTGTTCGGCCATCACTATTGTTTTATTATTTCCATAGTATGTACGTCATTTACTATAAAGTATTAAGATTTACACTCGGTTTCTGAATTGAGAATTTCAAGTTAGGCACATCGCAAGCTGTACTTGAATGTCATTTAAATTGGTTTGAGTTTCTGATTTTAGTTTTTAAATGATCAGTTATCGCAGTTTGATAAAACTAGGACTTTTTGTGATACGTTGACAACTGAAGTTATTGAAAATAGTCAGTTAAGATTATGTTCTTTTCTTAATTCAGAAACCGGCCGTCTAACAAACGAAAAATTTTTCATTCGTGTTTTATATTTTGAAATCATGTAATGAAAGTGTATGAAATATTTATCTGAAAATAACATGGGTATATGTATTATTTTACTTATATAAAGTCTGTTTTCTAACCTACTATTTAATTGCTATTAATACAATTATACATTTATTAAATTAATACTTCCTTAAAGACTCGAAAATATAAAATTATCAAACAATATTTTTGATTAGTTAACTTTGCTCCAGCATTTTTTTCGGTTGGTCTTCGCCTAACTTTAAAGGTTCTGCAGAGCGATTCTGTTAAAAGCCGAACTCCAATTCGAATTCACTCATGTGTCCGTTATTCAAGTCACTTATTTTAAAAATTTTATTCATTCCATTTTTGTATAAAAATACAAATCAAGATTGATTAATTTATACGTGTCTCAGATATTCTATTCCATTGTCATTTCGTAACAAACTTCACTTATGCCACGAAACGTTATTACCTATTCAAGGTTGAGCGGATGCCCTTTTTGAAGAGAATTCGACAACTGGGTGCATTTGAATTCATATTCGGACTTTTACAGAATCGCAGGGCAGTTCGCGTTATGTTATATTGAAATTTCCTATTTCCTAATATTTACTTAAGTCTTTTCGTTTTTAATAATTTTACAGCATAATTCCGTATTTGTACCCTTCGAGACGAGAAACGCCCACTACAATGGCTACAAAATTAGCAAAGAGACACAGCGATAATTTCAACTTTGATCATAAAAAAATGTCGTTGGAACTAGTCAGAGAGTTGTATTTCTACAATGATTTACCTCGGCAGTTGAAATGTGGAGCGACATTGAATGAGGATTGCTTGAAAATGTTGGTCGCTGATTTGGTGTCTAAATTGATGACTTCTAACAGTAAATCGTATTCGGTAAGTCATGAAGATACATTTTGTATAATCAGTTATGAATATTCAGTGTATAAAGATATATCTTAATATTCCGTCGTCTTTTATAATAACAGGCCCTAACAAGAAGCTTTGCTATTGCCTATGCTATTGCTCAAGGTTGCTCAACATTAAAAAAACGTTTTTTTTTTCGAATTAATTGTTTGTCATTTCCTATTTTAACTGTCATAGATCGTGTTTACTTGCACAACGTCCACAATGAGTGGCGTAACCTGACTTGGACTTGAAATTAAAATTGACAATAGTAATAATTTTAAACTTCATTTTTATCAGCAAGGAGTTTTGGAGACTTTGCAAGCTGTTTGTAGAAAATATTCGCCATGGAAAAATCTAGAAGCCTATTCTGATCAAGGACTTCTGAGCTTCTGTCTGGATAGTTTAGACTACTGCAATGGCACAGTGCCAGTAAGGACTGTGCTATTAGAACTTTGCGCATTCATTTATCCAGGTATTTCGATACCCACCATTTAATAACTCCATGTATTAAATAGTTCTAAGAACTAAGGCAACTTCTGCATTTTATTACAGTTGAAATACATAACATCATGCGTCATAAAACAAATAACAGAGATATTTTTGAACGCGACTCACAAACTACTAAAGACAGGTGGCTGCATCTTGAAAATGAACCTGTCGCTAATTTGGCCGAGAAGTTTCTGCAAGTTACACTAAAAATGTTGAATGTTTTGGTTCACTTGATTGAGGAAGTTAATCCTAATGTGCATTTGAATAGGAGTGGTATCGCTTTACCAGGCAGTCCTGTAAGGAGGAAAACTAAAGGTAAGCAAGTCTTGTTCCAAAGATATTTTTTTTATTTAAGAAAATTTTTGTTGTTAGTAATGAACATAATGCTTAAATCATGAAATATTTCTCAACATTTCCCTGCAGATTCTATACAGCGTAAGAGCGGTAATATGAACGAGACATTAGACGAGAAAAGTTCTCTTAGGAAGAAATTGCCGACTCCGACTAACACATTGAAAGCCAATTTTGCTGGACATTTCTTCACAGAACCTTTCTATATGAGATTCTATGAAAATCTAAGAGCAACATACTCTAATTATAAGGTTGGTTCCAACCGGAATTAACGCATGAATTGTAGAAATAAAATTACACCAATGTTTAAATGATAGAAATATGTAATACCAGCTAAAAATCCTCACTTAGATCTTTCGAAGTAATGTTAAAGTTAGAACTTTAATGAATGTATTTATACTAATATTATAAAGAGGAAATACTTGATTGTTTGTTTGTAATGAATAGACCCCGAAACTACTGTACCGATGTGGTGGACATAGGCTATATTTTATTCCAAAAAATAGTAAATAAAGGGATGAAGCTGGGAGTGGAAGTTTGTATAGGGAATTAAAACGTTACCATAGTAACCATTGTTTACTATTCAATTTGTAATTGTGATTATATCCGTGTCATGATATGAACCTTATCCGAATGAATTATTATATTCTAAGCCTGGATTAACATATGGGCTTCCTTTATTCCACTAAACAGTTCCCTAGGGACGACGCGGGCGTGGCAACTGTGGCAAATACTCCAGATTTTTTTCTCTTCTAAATAACATAATTAAGAAACTATTGATGTCTCATATTGCTTATGGATCACTTTTCAGATAAATCTCGTTCCTAAGTCGAGTATGTTCCACGAATATCTGACTACAGTTTTGAATTGTCTGGCTGTCCAACTAGAGTTGGCCACTGAGAAAGAATTTGGTGTTGTCACCGAAGAAATTCTGTATTACTTCAAAGTAATCATGCCTCTATGTCCTGACACCACAGTATACTGTATCACGCAGTTATTGAAATGCTTATTCGGCACAAACCTAATTAGTCAATATTCAGACCATCTCAGTATAGCCGATAAGGTTGAAGTTCCTACAAACAAATGTTTTTATCAAGACGTTATGTTGATAAATGATTTTCACATACAAGAAGAACAGTCTAGAAGGAGTAGCGTCTGTTCTAACACTAGTCAGAAATTGTCTTTGGACAGCAAGAATCCTAGGATGATAGCTGAGCGGCAGCTATTGATGAGTATGGAGAATTATTCTAAGAATAGGACTGACAGAAAATTTAGCACTAACAAGAAGGAATTGGAAAGATATATAAGATTGTTTGAGCCGGTTGTGATTCAGGCGTTAAAGGTGAGAGTGCAATTTTTTTACACCTTAATCTATAGTATAGAAGACGATAAATATTACACCAGATATAATGATAAAATAGATATGACACAAATTATGGAGATTTTCATAAAATATATGGCAGATTTTACTCTAGTTGAGTTTTTTTTTGAGATGCTTCATAAGTTGCAGAAAAGTAAAGAAGGACTATCTACAATTACAGTTTTCTTTTCTGGTAATAATACATAAAATTTTACTAAAAATAAATTCATTAAGAATGTTAATATTTTAAATGGGAATGTACGATAGCTATGATCAATATTGCCTTAGTTTTATTTTAATATAAACACGTAGTTGATAGAACGAAACTAAAGTATACATTACTTCTAGAGCTACACGATGCAAAACGATATACCCCTGCAATGTGCGGTACTCAGTTTGTTAGATCAACTGTTGACGTTGAGAGTCAACTACTGCATGCTCGACAGCGACCAAGTTTTCATCGGATTTCTATTAAAGCAGTTAGATTTGGTAGAACAGCACGAGATTCCGTAAGTGGGCTTCTGAATTGTGATCCTAATACAAATGTAGATAGTAAACGAAAATAAATACACATTTTTTTTGGTAGTGTTTAATATTTTATGAATGATAATCATACTTTTTTTATTTATAATATTGCTTATATTAATTATGAAAATACAAATATTTTTTTCTTGTTGTCACGTGACCGCAAAGATCGCGTGTCGTCACGTCGTGTCGGGTGGACTTAAATAATAGGGAATATGCACATTTTTGGAAAATGTATTTATATGATAATTTATATCGATATATAACTGTAAAAAAATACCCGACACCGAAAAACTAAAATTTTGTAGCATTAATAATTGATGAAAATAAGTAATAGCTACGAGCAGTTTAAACAGCGGAATTTTTGGCGCGCTTATCGTGACTTCAAAGTACACGACTAGAGATATGACATTTTAAATCAATATGTATTTTGAGTGATTGATTATTATCTAATTACCCAAATCGATTAACAACTAATCGATTTTTTAAAGTATAATAAACTTTTTAACAAATCATATAGTTTACCAAAATGATGAAATAAAAATAAAAGCCTAAAAAATCATTTAAATTGTGAACTGTTTTTTAATTTTGCCATAAATACATTGATGTTATTGCATCGATGTTAACTTTTTATAACAACGACATCCCTATACGTGTACATTTTCGTCACATCCGCTCTGACAAGTAGCATGGCGTTTGAATATTTTGAAGTTACCGCATTTTTTAGTCAATTTTTAATAATTATTTTCAAGGCGAAAACGAATTAATGTTGAAAAATATTTACAGAGACTTTATTCTAAAGCAATAATGATGGTAATAAAATATATTTAACCCTTTTTTGAATCAGACGCATATTCCCTATTATAACTTATGTAGGTATATATAGAATGATATTAGTTTTAGATGGGTATGACGTCATAGCAATACCATGAGAAAAAATTGCGTTTACGCGGGAAATTTTGAAAATAAAATTTCTTTTGAGAATTTAATTATATTTTTTTATATATAGATATGTTTCCTGTATTCTTAAAATATTAAAAATGTTATCTACGCCTAAAATGTGATCTACGCCCCAGTTGGAATTGGAAATCGACTCTACAAAATTACGAAACGTTTTAGCGATGAATATAACTACGGCATTGTTTGCTTACAGAAACTGCTGTGATCTGGTCAACTCTGTTTTGACGTTCCTCGTACAGTTGTCCACATCAAAACACCATTCGAAGCAGTTGATTGAAATACCTAAGGTAGGCATGTGGTACTTTATAAAAACTATTAAGTCTAACGTAACTTTTATTATTTTTATTATACCTGAGCCTTTGCGATATATGAAATAAAAGCTTTTTTTGCCTACAATTGTTAAAGGTAAATTTATCATTAAAAATAGGCGATAACGTAAAAAATGACAAGGAAGTGAAAGACCGTGCCTTTTGGTACTTAGCTCACTGTATCTAACTCTCGAAAGGTGCGGGATAAATGAAAGGAATCTGGCGTGGCGTCCAAATTGGTGTATATACTATTTCGTTTAATTTACTGGTATTGCAATAAAGTCTTAATTGTGTTATAATAAGATTGTCTTTATTATAACAGCTTATACAGCTCTGCGACGGATTAATGGCTTCTGGGGCACATGCCGAGTGTATAGCGGGTCTGGAGCCAGTTGCTGTAAAAGTTTTCAGCAATATGGGAGGTGAGTCAAAAATTTTATGTTTCTCTCCTTAATAGAAACCAAACTGATATGGACCAATTTTCTATAGATTTTTATTACTAAATCCTAATTAAATCAGGTTGTACCATTAGTTTAATCTTAATGAAATTATGTTGTCGCCCAGATATTATTTTGATTTTATTGCTTATTAAGTCATGAATATAATTTCGGAAATAAAATCTCATCGCTTTTATGAATCCATCAGGTGCCAGTATTTTGGGCAGAACTCAACAACAAGATGCCCAGGCTACTAAAGAAGTTTTATTTTATATGCTTCAGAAGACTATGCATCAGAGGAAGGTAGGTTTTAACTATATCATTATGTCAACTCTTAAATACATTTTAAGCTGTAGTAGTTTTCTTTCTCTTATTCCGTATGTTTTATTGCTCCTAGGACTTGTAAAGTACGAGAAGGACCAAATGAAAACCCCCAATTATTGGCATAAATTTTTAAATTTTTGGTCGCTTGTTTTTAGACATCGTATGGCGTTACAATGGATTTTTAACGTAGACGTATTAAACCTTTTCGAAGGATTCTACTCGCTCTCTAAAACAGGAGATAGTCTGAGGAAATGAAATATGATCTAGTTTAACTTCAGTAGCTAAACCATTTTCTCTAGCTTGCTAGAGAAAGAATCTTCATCATCATCAGCCCTTTTACTTCCCCACTGCAGGGGCTCAGGCCTTCCTTGTGGATGGTTAAGGAGGATGGGCCATGACCCTCCACGCTGGCCCAGTGTGGATTGGAGGGTATTAACGACTGCAAATGCAGCCGGGACCAACGGCTTAACGTGTCTTCCGAAGCACAGAGTAGCTCGAGATAATAATTTTTTGGTCACCCATCCCGTGACCGACCCTTGCGAAATTTGCTTAACGACAAGGATCGCGGGCCGCGGCGCTTACCAACTACGCCACCAAGCTAATAGGGAAAGAATATATTAACCAACCAGGATAATATAAAAACTTTTCTACTTTTCTGTTCGGGAATTAGATAGTAACTATGAAACATTTGAGCAAGGAGGTTGTTTACTCTATCATTAAATTGTCGATTTTAGTTAAATATTTACTGAAAAAACCGGGCAAGTGCGAGTTGGACTCGCGCACGTAGGGTATCGGAAACAAGTAAAAAGAATCACGCTTGATATTTGGAAGCCTCATTAAATATTTTATTTATTCTGTTTTTTTTTTGTGTTTGTTGTTGAAGCGGCAACAGAAATATATCATATGTGAAAATTTTAACTGTCTAACTTTCACGGTTCATGACAAACAGTCTGGTGACAGACAGACAGTGAAGTTTTAGTAATAGGGTTCTTGTTTTGCCCGTTGGATACGGAACCCTTAAAAGCGTGATTATATTTTCATTTGTATTGCTTATTATCAAAAACGTAACCGCACGCCGTCTTAATCAATCCTTTTCTACTTTAGGTGCTAGACCTTGTGTCATGTGTACTGTCTCTCTCACAAGAGCATCCCGAGTCTTACTACAGATGGTCAGAGCTTGCGTGCGACACGCTATTAAACCTCTTGAGTCAAAGGTATCGAATGAAATTATTTGTATTTAATTTTTATTAAATTCACGCATGAAGATTGTTTTCTAGTTATTGAAAAAGTTTATATTACTGGTTTTATAGTTAATTTTGCTTTTTGAAGGTCAGTTGAAGTGGACTGTAGAGAAGCCATATCGTCATTGGAGAGACTGCTGGATTCCGTGTACAAAGATGTACTTTTGGAGCAGAGCAGAGTGGAGTTGGTACTTAAGATACTATTTAAGGCACCACCTGATCAGGTACTACTTTATTGCTTAATCATCTAAGATAGGAAAAGGTAGACTATTAACGTAACATACTCAACGTATAAATCAGTAAAATTCAGTAAATGTTATATAATATCTTTCTCCGTTCTATGAACATAATATGAAGATAGTTACAAAGTGTGCAGACACGAAAATAACTTTCAATTTTGATATAGGATTATTTTACTTTAAATTTATTTTTATTACAGGCAACCATACCATACAAAATGAAATTACGTTACTTATCAATAATAATGGTTTTACTGCGAAAAGTACTTATCCTCATACCAGAGAGCGAGATATTGCTCTCAATAAACTACCTCAAAGCTACTTGCGTATCACCACAATCCATCTTCTTCAACGCCAAACTAGATATCGATCCGTTAAATGTTCAAAACGTCAATGAGAATTGCGCCAATCTCTCGCCAGATGTCGTCTTGGTCAGATTTCTATTCAAAACATTAACTTACGCTATAACAGAAATGGATTCGTGTCACGAAGAGAGTTGTTCTGATTTCGACCGTAAAGATGGTAACAGTAGAGTTCAAAATCATAGTTTGTTGTATGCAGTATGTGTCAATATAATTGTTCAAGTGAAACATATGCTCCATTTAACGGGTAAGTTTGTATTTTATTAGCGATATTATTTAAAATAGATATCACACAGTGTTTCAATTCTAATAAAGTATTGACTTAGAATATAAAGGTTGTTTCCAGATCTACATAAAAGAATATATGATACATAAATAAAAGAAATTTAATACTTTTTACAAACTAACGGGTTTTGTATTTTTTAAGATGGTTGCCTTTTTCCACTTACTGCAAAGACAGCTCAAAGTCTTCTACATAACGAGCAAAGTGGATTGAACACGGGCCTATACAGTCCAGAGGAGAACATACCGCTGGACTTACTTAACTTGATCTGTTTAAGATCTGCACATAGAGCCCCGTTGCTGACCGTACACTGGTCACATTTACTGATAAGGTGAATTGAATATTTTAGCGTTATTATACATTTTTTTAGCATAATTATGAAGTAGCGCATCGTAGAAGCTCGATAGCGTAGTCAACTTTTAAACTTTTTAACACATTTTCTTAAATTAATAGAAATGAGTCATTTTTATTCTTCCGTCAGTTAGATTATTGAAGAAAATTAAACACCTATTTTTTTTCGTAATTAATAAATTTACGGAGATCCATTGAGTTAAAACGACGTATGATTCCCTATTTTATACATTTTCTACAAAGCTGTGACGTAGCCGGCACCCACTTCTCAACTTTAAAGCCACTTATTTAAGCTTCTAACGTCTTGATAAATTGAAGCAAAAAAAAAAGTTGTATCTAATAATTGTCTGTTATTTGACTGACGAAATAGATTTTTTTTTATCAAGTCGTCATCTCTTTTACGTAATTTACTATTTTGTTTACAGACTGAATTTCCTTTCCCATAAGTTTTGGCAGAAACTTATTGGATTTGCCAGGAATCTTCCTCTTAGTGCACACAGTGGGGATACAAAGCTGCTATGTGCTGATATATTGCAAATAGCTTGCGTCATGGCGTATTGCGAGTATTTTGTGAGTAATACCCTTATTAATAATAAACTTAGAACGGTTTAGTTATACACAGCTCTCTTCACGTTATTCCATCGTGATTTTTATTTTGAGTGAAAAAGACAAAACACTAGAACTATATCAGTAACACATAATATACGTTAAAAATAAAGTTTATAAAATTAGTTAAGTATTGATGTTAATTGTTAATGTAATACTATTAAGTTAATAAAACTAATCTTAGTGGTTAAATTAAAAAAACATGGTGAGTTAGTAATAAAGTATATTTAAGTATATTTTTATATGTACCTACATCTGTCACTTAGCATTATTTCTGTCAACATATTCAAGATAATGTTCTTATTTATTGTTAAATAAATCGCTGAGAAGTTAATATTATTATATAATGTCTTTTAGGTTGAAAATGGGTTATCAGAAGCTGTACATTTGACATGGCTGCTTGTAAACCGAGTTCATATTTTAGTTCACCAATATCACTCTGAGATAGTACAGAAGTTGATTTGTAAAGTGCAACAAACTAGTGGCGCTTCTGGACTTCTGTTACAAGCAATCGCCGCTAGATGTCAAACTTGTTTGAAGGTTTGTCACATATATAGTCCCTAACAGCATTTTCTTAAATATCTCTTTCGTATATAGTGTTTGAATCATATATAGCTTATATTTGTCTCAATTTTTGCAGGATGAGTTCGCGTTAAATACTTACAAAATTTTGTCATTATGTCACGAAAGTCAATCGGGAGCATTAGTTTTTCTAATATGTCGTATTATTGGAAAATTGGAGCCGGCTTTAGCTGTGAGGTTTGTATGATTAACAATTTTAATAATAAAAATTGACGATTTAGTAATAATAAATTAAACTTTATTTTGATAGTATTATTTATAACTTGTATGTATCTCACATCAGTGTTAATTTACACTGATGTGAGATAAATACAATGAATTAGATTTTAAATCTTTGCCGAAATTCCAATGACAGTTTATTATCTAAATATCGTATATACTTATATTAACTTTAAATTCTGTATGTTTTTTAATATTTCTTTTCTTTAGATTTGCGAAACTTGCAGTGGAGCGATGCAAAATGTTAAAAGATATGCCAATAGAGAAAATTCACGTACAATTAGCGAAAGAAGATGTTCAAGTCGCGTTAGAGCTATTGCAGAGAGACAAAGTGCACGTGCGGTAATTACTTATAAAACATAACATTTATTTTTTCATTGAGCTGTATTTTAAGTGTTATATGAATAAATATATGTATAAGCTTATATACTTTTGGTCACACAATATGTACGAAAGAGACTATATTTTTTTAAGAAAGAGATACTAAACGTAACACACATTGACACCTATTAAAATCGCATACAAAAATTATAGACTTTTTTTTTGCAATTTAGTATTGAATATAAATGACTTCGCTAATTACCAGACTCTTTATTTCGTTTCAGCTATTCTTCTTTAGTGTTAGAGTTGAACTCGTTGGCTTCGAGTGTATTTGATCTGTCTCCTTTAGACCTGTCACAGGATAGGGCGATCAATCCTCAATACATAGTCACTACTAGCGTCGATTCTAATTGGTTACTCAATCAAGTAAAGTCTAGGTAAGTTGAGAGATATATTTTGTCATAAGCCACTTCAATTCTGTATTATAGTCTAATAATACTTCTATAAGCCTGTAAAAATCCGACACAGATCGGGCGAAGCGCAAAGTAGAGTATTTTTCACTACTTAAACATAATCGTTTTGTGGTTGTTGACATAAGATTGAAATTTAATTAATACGACTAAAAATCCTAGTATGTAGAATATGATTACTAAGAGCGATAGTGCGGCAGTTTTCGATAATTTTCAATATTCGACCTTATTTACCTTATAAAAAAAACGATAACGCTTTAGTAGTGAAAAATATCGTTGCCCCACTACACCAGAGGTGACTCAGCCTTCATTGTCTAGCTTTAAAAATGTTAATGTAAAAAAAATGTTTGTTGTAATATTGAGCGTTTAAATTTTTTTATATATTTTTTGTAGGTGTTGTCAAGTCGATTGTGTTGCACCTAAAGTGCCCAAGCATCATGAGTTGGCACTTCTCTTATCCAATTTGACTCGAGAGAATTTGACCACTGTTGTGACGTGTCAAGAGTTTGACAAGAATCTCCTTAGCTCGTGTTTCAAAGTGTCTTGCGATAATTTCCTAAAAGAGTTTCTTAATAATTTATCAACTTACGAAACTAGAGAAGCAGAAAGGGACGCTTTAAAACGACAAAGGGAGATGATGAAATCAAAAGAAGAGATGACGTCATCGATTGATAGTAATAAATTGAATGTTGTCAACACATTGCACGTATTCAAAAAAAGTGACAACAAAGAGTCCAAATCCCAGTTCTTTATTCCTATATCGGATAATGAAATCAAAGAAAGATTCGGTAATTTAGAACTGTCTGATGATGAAACGGAATTAGTAATGCCTGATATACCAGAGCTGTACCAAGTGGCCTTAACCACCTTTGACAAATCTTTGACTGACGTGATAAGATTATTCCCTAAGCAAAATCGGCCTCTAAGCCAATCAGAAAATTTCAATTTGAATTTAGAATTGACAATAGATAGATACACGCGGAGATGCCATCAAGTTTTTCAAGACAAACTCTTTTATCAAGAATTCGTGACGTTGCAAACCATTTTGACGGGCCTGTTGAACGCTTTAGATAGGATCATTTGCACAGTCGACGAAGCCGATTGTGATTTGCTAGAAAAGTCCATGGAAAACATTTTACCCACTGTCTTAGCTAAAAATATAGCGATATTCTCAGTGATTTCATTGCAGTACCTTTCTTTTCTGATAAAAAATAAAAAGATAGTCGAAAGCCCGGTACAGACTGACGTTTCATTTAGAGTGTCGGCTTCGGTGACAGAAAACGTCATCGTCGACAACGTTATTCAGATGGTGGTGGAAAACGTGGCTGATGCGTTGACATTTGAAGAGATATGGACCGAGTTGAATGTCGATAGTAATGTTAATAGGACACAGTCGGCAATCAGTTGTTTGTATGCTGTAGTTAAATATTTAGTCAAGGTAATATTGGGTATCACTAGGATTAATAGTGTTTAAAATTATTTTTTATTCTCTAGTGTCATTATTTTTTTTGTAATTTCAATTTGATTTGTTACTTAAGTAAACAAATATTGAGAGTCCTTGGGCTATAAAGGTCGTCAAAGGAGGTCGAATATTTCAGAGAATTATTATGCATATAATGTAATGATAAAAATAGTTGGAATCTGTACCGAAAATTATCTTTTCTCTCTTTCTCTTTGCAGGATACAAGACCTCTAATTTTAAAACACTATATGCACATAGCTGATTCCGGTCCCCAACCCGATCTAGTCATAGTAGGTGATAAATTGGTAACACTTATAGATTACTGGGAGCAATATATGTGTGTGAGACAAACCGATTGTTTACCGAAGTGTTACAAAAAATCTTTAGAGAGGTTGCTGGTCAGCTTCTCGAGGTAATAATGTAATATAAGAACCACTGAATAGATAAAAAAGTTCCTTCGTCTTCTATTATTTATTACTCCAAATTTTCACATTACAATGTCGAATTAAAGAACTGCTAGGTTTTTTTCATTATTTCATTAATATAGGTTTAGAATAAAAAAAAAAATATTAGGAAAACACCAAATAAAATACAGAATTAAAAAAAGGTATTCCGTAGTAGAAACTTTTCGCTTTTGTAATAATCGCCACAAATAATTTAATCTCAAGTACACGAGATCTATGATGGGACGAGCTTGCCTAGAAGGAACCTATTTACTCTTCCCTTAAATATGCCTGGGTTATACTTTTAATTTTTTACCTGTTTATGTTTAGAATACACATTTTTTTATATCTTGATATCTTTCCGTGTTAAAATTCTTGAAAAAGAAATACCGGCCAGGCCCATAGTAATTACTGTTGCGAAGTCTGCAAACAATAAAAGCCAAAAATTATATTTAAAAAAAATGTAGTGAAAGAGATGAAATAGTAATTTGTAGGAATGAGACAAAAACAGCGAGTAGGTTCTCATACGTTTTTCATTTTTAGATTAGACATCGTGAGCAACATAGCATTGATACCACCAATAGCCTGGTCTTCTGTAGAAGTTGTGTGTAAGAATGATCAAATTCAAAAGATCGATTTGCCTTTGCAAGCTCTACAGGACATGGATGTGTTAGAGGCATTCTTGTTCAGGTAATATCTTTATACTTTGAACATTTCAGCTCTTTAGTTTACCACAAAATTTAACTCATTTAACTTAAATATAGACTACTTTAAGACAACCCCTTTGATTGTTGTTAATTTAATTGCACAAACGATCTTTAAGGTTGAAACTTTTAAGGTTAATGGACGTTGGTGCAACTGGACGTGTAAAATTTTTATTGAAGTAATGTAATCAGTTGATTCTGATGCATATACGATACTTTCCATTTGATTTTTTTTGTTTTCTTGAGCGTTACGTAGTAATATTCTACAATGGGTCTGAAATGTAGGAAATCAAATTGTGTAACATGACTATTTTATTTTAACTGTATTATTATTATACCAGTCGTAGGAGTAGGCAGATTGATTTTTGGTCCTTTACTTACGTTCATTAAAAGAATAACACGGATAAGACTTTATTTTTGCGTACAGTGCAACCCCTTTTTTTGCGATAAGAGAAAACTTATATTCTTCCCAAGATCAACTCCATATCAAAGTTCATTGAACTAGGTTCAATGTTTTACGTATGAAAGCATAATTGAAAAAAACAATTTCACGCTTATAATATTGGTAGAGTTTGGAGAGGTGATAATGGTGTGATTTTTCTATAGAGTCAACTTAATAGGCTGGTCGTCAAAGAAACAGTTTGAGGAGATATGGGTGGGTCTTCTTGGTGCGTTACAAGGCAATGGGACGCATTGGGCTGTACGAGGCATCACACAGTTGCTGATAAACACTGCTCCTCGAGTTAAGAGGCGGGGCATATTGCACGTGCCTCGGACGAATCATCACATTACTGTTGGGTATGATGTTCATTTCTTTTATTTTGGTCTTTTATCTATTTATTCGTTATACCCAAAGGGTTACTCATTACTAAGACTCGGTTGTCCTACCGTCCGTTCGTCTGTCTGTCCGTCTGTCACCAGTGTTCATGAACTGTGTTAGTTAGACAATTGAAAATTTCATAGATGATGTGTGTTTGTTACAGCTATAATAAAAAATACTAGAAAATAGATTAAAATAAATATTTAAAAGGGCTCCCACACGAACGAGATTTTGGGTCGTTACCGGCACGGAACACTTCGTGCGTGGATCCGCTTGTACTTGGCCGGTTTTTGTTGTTCATGTTAAAAATATCCGTATCTGCTGCTCCTTCCCCTACTATTTAGTATTTAGTATTAACCTTTTATGTAAAAAACGTAGAAACGTTTGTTTTCATATTTAAATTTAATAAATATGAAAAATTTGGAAAAAAATATTTTACGATTATTTTTGGTTATTATCAACTTTGCTTTTATTTTTTATCGCATATGTTTTAACTTAGTGCATTTTTGTGATTTTAAAGCAGTAAAAATCAATATCTCCCCCTTTCCTTGTATGAAATACTAAGATATGTATGATTCCAAACCCCCAAAATCGGTGGCATGGCAAAATGATTCAGGGTCCCTTTCCTACTTTCTTTTGGATTTGTGTAAGCGGTGGCGGAATTATCTTGACTTTTTGAAAAGCTTTGTAACACTAATAATATTTATACATATCGCACGTTGAGAACGATAGTGACACAATGCAAAAATGCGATTTTGAGTATAGTATAGTTCTTTTATGTTAGTAAAAATATATAATAGAATTCCAAGGAACATAAGAGAACTTCCATTTAATTATTTTAAAAGGCAACTTACCGAATGGCTTTGTGACAGATGCTTTTATTCAATTAAGGAATTTATGAATAAATAATAATTAATGTAACTAAACATTCTTTAATATGTACAGTAATAATGACTTAATATTGATACTACTTGATTATGACATAATTTACAATTTACTAATTTTTACATTATTTGTTGTGTTCAATAATTATAATAGCATAGTTTAACTTTGACATTTTTATATTTTGCATGCTGAATATTTAGCGAAATATGCTGACCAGTGTACCCTATCCTAACATCAATGTAACCATGTTTCTAGCAAAATAAATTATTATTATTATTAAAGTTCAAGAAATTGTAGTCAGCCCCTCTAAACAACGTATCGTCACTACGCCACCTAGCAGTTTCTATGCAAGCTACGTTCACAGGGATCTTTGCATTTTAAAGTTTATACTTAACAAAGAAAAATGTTGTCAAAAGTAAAAAATACTTCATTTTTGGTTAGTGACATTGTCATTCTCAACGTGCGATATATATATTATTATTTTTACAGTATGCAGAGGCTGCGAAACCTCCTAGTTGGCACATCAGCATACAAGATATTTGATGCCGTTAATTTAGAACGGATACCTCTGATGAACGATGCAGAAGTCGGTTATCACTATGCGCAGTTCAGCATGGAGTATCTGAAAGTAGCTTCTGGTACGTAAAATTGATTTAAAATATTCTGGCTTATTAATAAGATTATTATCCTTGAAGTTAATTTGAAAGTTGATCTTTATATAAAGATATATGATATATTTTAAAACATACGCGTTTTAAATTAAAGACCGTTGATTTTGGTACACGGAGGAAACTTTATCGGATGTGGTGTCTGGGTAGTGGATCGTCCTTGAATTTTTAATGCAGTTTATAGTGTTGGTATTAAATTATATACAATATGTAAATAAAGGATTTCTTATAAAGTTCAATTAAAAAAATATATATCTTTGCAGATAATTTGCATGTAGAGCCTCTTCCAGATATTTAACTAAAGCATTTCATAATCATAGACAACAATATTGACTATTGTTTATCATTGTTACATAGAAATAAGTGACGATTCGTCATTCCGTGTTCGCCAACACATCAAAAGATCAAAGAAGTATAAGGATATTGATGTGAACAGCTGTCTTCAACTCCTCATGGATGTCACTTCACAAATGCTTGAGCCAAAGGTATAACATTTAGACCTAAGTCTTAATCAAAATAATCACTTTAGCAGACAAAGTCACTCTGAATAACTTAGCGAATTATACAATGTCATTATCTGCAATAATCTCATACAACAGACTGATTCGATTTCTTATATGGGTATTTTGTTTTGCTAAATGTAATTGGAATACTCCTTATAATTTTCTAAACTTATAATTTCTCCTTATAATTTTCTTATAATTTTTCTGCTTTATTTTCTAAACAAACGGCGGTCAGCTCGAAACATACGCGCTCAGCAACGGTCATGCACTAAATCTAGCCTTAATTTATGTGCAGGCGTCGACGGGAACTTGCGCTCGTGTAGCATTAGTGTCATCAGTAGCGCACGCTAGCGGCGGTGGATCGTTTAGTGCCGCCTCGCAGTGGTGGTGGGCGGGGGCGCTTATAGCCGCCACTACAGGTAGGTACCTAGGTATTTTATTCAACTTCAAACACAAATAAAATGTAAAAATGGCGGATTTAATGACAGCAGCCATTCTCTACCAGTCAACCGAAAAGTTATGGAATACATTAATAAGGAGGTGCTACAAAAAAAAAAAAACAATAAAGTCAATATAGACACATATACAATTTAAAAAAAAAACAAAATAATGCAATATACATAACAAACATATTACATATCATTAATAATTAAATATTAAAATATATCGATATCGATACTTTTATTCGATACCGGATCAATACCTACACGTAATCGAAGTAAAAGTATCGGTACCTACTCGCATAGGACAGTTTTTTTTTAATCGCAAGTACTCCTTCGGTCAGTTACACAAATGTCCATTAACTTTTAATGACGCCTTTAAGCTCTAAGGAATGTCAAATTTGTTTCGGTAATGTCGTTTTCAACTAATGACAATTTTAATGCAACTGGATTTGTATGGTCTAAGTGTTTATACTTACTATATATGTTTTCTAGTTGACCTGGCAAACGTTGTTTTGACATATAAATTGGGGTTGACCACACTTATCACTATAAAAGAAATAACAACCTATTGCGCTGTTCTCATCTTTTTAAGTTTTTTTAATTTGTAGTCAATCGCTGGATTTAACTATTCTTGTTCAATTGACATATTTTAAACTCCTACTTTACGTATCTGTTTTGTGTTCATATCGGAATGACGTCATGAATATAGCGACAGCGTTTTGGAGGGTATAAAAAAAAGTTTAAATTTTGATTTAATTTAAAGGCAGAAAAATGTGTTTATTATTCCCTAATATAGTTTTATAGTTTTTTGTTAAATAAAATTAAACATGTACCATTTTTAACAAAGTAGAATAATCTATTGTAAATGTGATGGTTAATAAAACGGTTACTTTCTTACTTACCTAACTACAGGCGCAGCGCACGCGCATCTACAGCAGTACAGTACCGCGGCGCGAGCTTTGCTCCATGCTCTTTCGCTGTGTTTAGCAGCACTGGACACTGTTTGCAGTCCACTGCAGGTGAGATAGATAGATAGTTAACTTTTTATTGTTAACAATATACTCATTACAATATAATCTGTTATACAGACTTAACTAGATTGCGTAACAATTGAAGGCGTTATCGCTTAAAGCGATTTCTTCCAGGCGGTGGATGGAGAAAGACATAGCCATAATAACAGAGAAGGAGGTGTACATGATATTCATGCTGACCCGATATTTTCTACATAATAATATAAAAATGCATTAAGTAATTGTAAAATCTGTTAAATATATATTGTCTTTTTTTATCCATTAACATTAAATTTATTTACAGGACACTTTTATTTTACTTTTTTTACATTTTACTTCACAATTTATATATATTTGATCAATTTTGCATTCAGATTTACTAATATTTTTTTAGTGAAAATTACTTAAAAAATCCACCAGCGTTAGGTGGAATATGTCAATCTCTGCCCAGGTCATTATCCATATTAACTTAGTTATTAATAATAAATTAAATTGACAGGAATTGTCATCTGTACACCAAAAATTACTCAAGTCATTATCATCGAGTTACGCTCCGCTGCGTCAAGCAGCATTGCACGGATGCTTACTGCAACTAACTGCGAAGCCGCGAGCTGCACACCCATCTGCTCACTGTCACGACTTGGTGACGCAGCTTAATGTCGCTGTCAGACAATATCTTGAGCCCAATGCTAAGTACGTATTCTTTTGTAAATTGATTATTATCTCTTAATTGTGATTAACGTCATATTCAATGACGTTAGAATAAAAGGCTTATCCATACTAGGACAACTATCATATAGTATCTGTTAACTACGATTGCTACTAACGATAGAAAAGAAGAGATAAATAATATTGATTTCTTTTATTTACGATTTTTTTCAGAATCTCCTTGTATGAACAAAGCCTATACTGGACGGTGTTATTCACCCTCATAGAGCTTGGTCATCCGGATTTGATTAATTTAGCTGTTGAATTTGTGCTCAATAATCAGAGGCACTATTGCACTGACCTCGTTGTTAGGGTAAGTCGCTTTAGTTATTTTTTTCTTTGTACACTATTTGTATCCATGACATCCCTCAATGGATTTATAACACTATCTAAAATGCATTAAAGTTAAAAATCAAGTAGGTAAATTTGTAAATTTTTTATGTTTACATACTGTTCACTGTAATTATAAATCTTTAGTATTGACGTTATCTCTTATCATGTATCTCATTCTATTATATTAGTAATTCGCATGCTAACACGAGAGATGTGATGCAAGCTCTTTAACAATTATACATACCATGATATTTTTTAAACATACCATGTATTTAGTGCAATAAATTTACTACCTACAACTCGTTTAAGAAATTTTAATTAAATTTCGTTCAATTTTCGGTTTGAATGATATTGCTGTCTGTGGGTTAACATACATTTACAAGGATTTAGTTAAATGATTCACGTGTATCTGCTGTGTACATTGTGAACTAATGAATTAACCCAACCATTGGTCTTTATAATGTAGAGTTGATTATTTTAATGATCATAGCAAAATAGGTCATAATGGAATCGCTACAGAGCTTTATTATTATATTAACATAGCAGATAATGATATGGTCATTTTACAGGGCATAACTATAACAATCAGACAACAACTTCTACCTAAAGATCTCAAGAATTCAGTTATAGAGAAACTGCTAGAAAACATGAAGAGTTATAGAGAAGAACACGCTATACAAATACTGTTAGTGCACCTTTTCTCAGGTAAATCGCCGGTTTGATATACTAATATGCTGATTTTATTATAATTGGCTACTTGATAGTTATAACAATAAATTATAAAATGATTTGGAAATCATATTATTTATGGAAAAAATTAGTAATTAACTATGAAGTAATTTTTGTTTTAAAATAAATTGTAAGAACTGAATTTAATCGTATCTGTCAATTACAAGAATCGAAACGCGGGTGGCCATGACGTAGCTTGTGATGTTACACTTAAATTACCTAAACGTCAATGTCTTTGTTGCAAGTGCAACCAGTACTCATGTTTATTGAAATGTGACGTCACTGCTCGCATTGTCACGCAACTAATTGTTTCCGCGGGACAATTTAAATCCTATTAATATTATAAAGGCGAAAGTTTGTAAGTATGGATGTATGGATGTTTGTTACTCTTTCACGAAAAAACTACTGGACGGATTTGGATAAAACTTTACAGCAATATAGGTTATACATCAGAATAACACATAGGGTACTTTTTACTGGGAAAACTTCTCACTCCCACGGGATACCGACTTCCACGCGGACGAAGTCGCGGGCGTCCACTAGTTTATGAATAAAAATGTGTCTTTCCTTTATTTGATAATACCTTTTGGAGAAAAATAAAATATAATGGATGAAATGATCATAAAAAAATTCTAAATTATTTTACCAAACAGTCAAGTAAATTGTTTGAGTTCTTTATACTATTTTTGAATAAAACAAAAACAATTATATATAATAAAATATTGTTTTGCAGCCGATAACAAACTATTAAGTCCAAAACTAGCGTCAGACGTTTCTAACATGGACCCAGATATTTTGATGAACTCAATGGAACGCCTGACCTTACTCTATAAAGTGCTACGTCAGTGTAAATCTAGAGAAAACAAAGCGATCATAGCTGATACCATGAAGTATTTCTTGAGGGAAACTTTACCACCAGCTGCGACACTGAGTAGAGTCGTCATAGAATTCCTAGAATGCTGTAAAGAGACTGAGAAAATGGAGATGGGAATATTGAACGATAGAGACAGATGGATCGACTGTTCGGTGTTGAACGCTGAAATAGTTTTTGAGGTATGTTTTTATTTAACTGGCAGAAAGCTAGTATACACTAGCTTTCCGCCAGCGGCATCGCTCGCGTGGTCCTGTGTTGTACATATAAATTTTCCTCTCGTGTCACTGTATTCATGAAAACTGGATTAAAACCGTTGTGTAGCTTAAAAGATCTCAGCGTACAGACAGCGACAAACGACTTTGAATGTAGTAACGTTACACAAAAATACTAGTATGTTAAAAGAACGCCTTTCTTGCTTGGTTTGAATTTTTGAACAAAGGAATTCGACAAGTCTGTGTTATGTTTAAAGTAAGGCATGAAGAGGTTAATTTTATTATTTTTTTGTAGGTATTCGAAACAGCCGTAACCCAAGATCAGCTACCAGTCTTAAGCGGTTGGATATTCGAAGCACTTTGTCATTTACTATCTGGAAAAATATCACCAAATCTACTGCCATATTGCGTTCTAATGTTATTAGTATCAGCCAGTTCTAACCGGTTTATAAGAAAAGTAGCTCCCCTATGTTACCATGTCTTGAAATTAGGTTTCCACAAATGTATGGATTGGGGAGACGTATGGGGTATTTTTAAAGAGTTCTTGAGAAAGAATGGGGTGACCATGTCTTTTTCCGATCGTAGATTGTTGTGTGTGGTGGCAACACATTCTAGTTTCAGTGGATCTCAGTTAGAGAGACTCAAAGAGTTGTGCGAAGGAAATGAATGCTTAAATGATTTGTTACAGTGTCTGTAGTAATGCCTTGATAGTGGTATGTATTCATTTTTAGTTTTGCGACAATAGATTTATAACATAAATATTCTAATAAAATCGAGATAAAATATATGTATCTGAGAGTTATTGTGTCTCGTTTTTTTATTATGAAAATAGCTTATTCTATAGTTAAAATGTGTCGGTGACTATGAAAATTTATTATAGAATTCATGGGTCTAATAGATTTACTATATATATAATATTTATAGTGCTATCATAAAGGAAAACAGGAGAAAAACAGCAGGAAAACGACCAATAGAATATTACTTTGAGAAAACAGCAATTTAACGTCCAAATAAAAGAAAGAAATAGAACATAGTAGTGCTATTAGTTCTGATTGTAACAAATCGCAAAACGTCGCTATATATGACCAAGTCCCGTAATTTTACTTAAGTGACTTAGTACAAAGATTTGAAATTTATGATTATAGAATAATTATATTGTATTTAGATCACTGCACATAGTTTAGAAGCATCTTTTTGTTTTAATTCCAAACTGCGTTTCATTACCGAAAAGTTATAATCTGTTATTAAATATATCCTTGGTGATTTTTATCATAACCTTTTATTCTATGTAACAATGAATTTATGCTTAATTCCTCTGCGTAGTGGTTAAGTAGTTAAATGAAATCTATTATTCCTTAGCTTGTAATATGACTTTAATTTAGATACTGATTGTTGTATGTATAGATTTATTTGTTGTTTATATAGTTGCGATTATAGATTAATGGAGGGCATACCTGTATTTTACTATTATACAATAAAAATGGCCGCTATAATTTGTATATACAGTATTTTTATGTAGACATGAGAAAAAAATGGTTTGAAACAAATAAAATAAATGTGAAATTTTGTTGTCCTGCATGCATTCATAATATGTTAAAAACCGAAAATTGCATGCAATAAAAAATATATTGCATGAAAAGCCATCCGAATATCCGAAAATCTGAATATCCGTGTTATTTTAAACAGTCTGTATTCTAAACGAAAGTATGAAATGTCAAGTGTTATTATCACAACTGCCACATGCAAAAGCGACACGAACTGGCTTAAAATAATATTTTTTTAATTTATTTTGATGGACGAGTCATGCTCGAGGCGGCGAGGTATAAGATAACAAAGGCATTCAGGTGCCGTCGTGTCGTGTATTTGTGTTGAATCAGGTCTTGTAAATATAATAACGCAAATACATTTATTCCAGCGAAAAATTTTTTTCGAATCAAATTAGTTACCAATATAAATGCAAAATTTTTGATTTTGTAATCTCAGTTCTCTTTATGAGACTTAGTAGCGCTGTTCCAATATCAATACAGATGCTCCATACGAATAATGATTCGAAATTGATGATTTTTCATATTAAATATCTGTAAAATTAATTGTATGACAGTTTTAAAAAAAATTCTTTAGTAATGTAAAAACATGTAATTTTTATGGTGAAACGCCAGCTGACAAAACAGATTGGTAAATTAACTGAAGGCACTGTAAAATGGATGTTTTAGAATATATTATATTGAAATTTGTATTTATGTGAAAGAAACGTGAATAAAAAATCTTGTTCAAATTTTAATGAATTCAAATTATTGGTATTTCTCTTTATGGTTGTGTAATATAATCTTCGATCAATATAGAATACAGACATTTGTACAGACAATTTGACGAAGGACCGGAGTAGATTAATATAATATTTTTTCAAGTAATATTATAACCAGTCATACATGTAGGTGGTCTTTTTTTGTTGTTGTCTTTATATGGATATTCTGGTGATACAAACTGGTGATAACAAACAGTAAGAAAATATAGTTTGGGTATAATTTTGGACTAAACAGACTACTATTTCCACGATTAAAGTTTTATATATTTAAAACCTCGTATCTCAGAGTCATATCCATATCAATATATACCTTTAAGATCAACGACCCGAAATACATAGCTTCTTCCTTCGATAGTTGATCATTATAAAAGAAAAAATTATTACATATTTTATAAACCAAATCTTTCTTTCGCACACTTTTTAAATAAAAAAAAATAAGATGGGATTTAATGAATGTTATTATTGATTTTATTAGATAAACGAAAAGGCTGTTGTATATTTAACAAATTCAGTTATTATAATGTAACGCATAGCTTCATGGAAAGGTACCTAATATACATAAATTAAACAAATATATGGTAATTTCATTTTACTTTTCCCAAAGAAAATATTTGTTTATAGGAGAACTCCCTCGTAAATTATTGCCTACGTCACTCGCTTATAATGTCTAATGTAGTGGTAAAAGAATTCGCCATCTTTCATTCATTTCATTTTACATGTAGAAATTTATTTATTCAATTGACATTGGCAGAATTGTGTGAAATACGCAGATAAGCCATTAATTAAAGAAGAAGAAGGTAGTGGTAAAAGAAATTTTAAAATCGATCCAGTAGTTTCGGAATCTCATAATTATCATCATCATCATCATCATCATCACCAGTCTATTAATGTTCTCTCTCACTGCTGGGATCAGCCCTGCAATTCTGTACAAATCTAAATTCGAATTCATTCAGGTGTTCGAATTCACTTCAAAAAGCGGCTTCCGCTCAACCTTGAATGAGGAAGTAATAAAAAAGAACGAAAGCATTAAAAAAGCACTTCCATTAGATGGCGACTCAAGCAAAAGTTGATTTTTGCAGTAAACAGGGGCGTAGTTACCGCCGTATCTACCGTATCAATTATACGGGGCCCCCGGGCGAGGGGGGCTCCCAACGTGCGTAAGAAAAAATTAATAAAAACTCTTCAAATTTCTTTTTATACCAGAAATCGGTTTTCATGGATTGCGGGATTTCTCCGTTTAAGTCATTTACTTCAATGGGGGAATCTCACTATAATCGACGTACATATGATTACAATTCGCACAATTTATAATAATAATAATCATTTAATCCAACATTTATTTTCCTTTTGTGAGAAATCTGTACCCTCCATAAGGGGCCCCTAAACAAATTATTATACGGGGCCCCGCCAAGGCATGCTATGCTACTAGCAGGAAACTAATGGACCAGAGACAGTCATTGCCGTTCGAAACTTAGATATCAATACAAATACGAAAAAGTACAAATAGAATATGAATTGTTTATTGCGTTTTGGAAACTAATTTACTTTTAAACATAAAAGAAAACCGGAAGGGTTGTCATGTAGAAATCAAGAACGTACCGGAGCGACATCTTGTTTGATTTCGGGAACTAATTTTTTTTTAATCATCATTGGTAATAATATTTGGTGGCATAAGTTTCGAAATGACATAGGATTAGAATATCTGAGACACGTATATTTAATGAATTTTGTTTGGTATTTTTATACAAAAAATGGAATCAATATAATTTCTACATTAAAAGACTGAATTCGGATATCTACATGAGTGAATACGGATTCCGGTCTGGATTTTTACAGAATTGCTTATAGGTGGGGTATTAAGTACTGCAGATGTAGCCGGAATGAACGGCTTAACGTGCCTTCCGCAGCATGGAGGAGCTTGAGGTAATAATTCCTAATTATATGTTTTTTATATTAATGTTTTACTGTGCAATAAAGTATATATTCATTCATTCATTCCTATAGGGTATAATAATGACAATATATTTAAATCGTAAATTTCTACCTATTAATTAAAGAGGGTGTTTATAATTTTGATCAATTTCGAAAGTAGGGTGCGTTTACCAATAACCCCTACATTTCAATTGGTTTTATACAGTCGAAGCATATCAGGCTGTACAAATCTGTCTTTCTTCACTTGACTTAAAACCTTAATACATTAAGGTAGAGTTGAAAATCAATGCAATAATTTGATATGCTATGAAAGCTGTACACAATGAAAGTGAGGAAGCTACATTAAGGACCGATGTTATCGACGAAGAGGCGACGAGGAATAGTGTGGGCACAGGTGCGAAAATAAACAGCTTATCTTCATAAATACTTATATTGTCCATAAAGTTTCTCGCCAAAACACGTGTCAATCAATTCATTAGAACCTAAGTCAATATCAAAACAAAAATAAATAAAAAAAAAAAAACTATAAAAACATAGAGAATGTATAAAAATACGTCGGTCCAGCTGACGATCCTTAACATCATACAGGAAAAAATTAGTCAATGCATAGAATGTAATATTATGTTCGTTACAGTTTTCCCACGTCAGTCAATTCACGTTTTCCTCTATTTTATAAACTGCTAATAGAAAATTCTCTAACTGTGCACGTTTTTGTTTCATGAAAAACGTGTCAGATTATTTTAGTGTGTTTAAAGCTACGTATAAGTACATCGGTTAACATGCCCTATTCTGGTTCTAATCCCATGAAAGTTTAACTAAATCTCGACCTTATATATCTTGACATACGAGTTTCCCTTTGATATATCTACTTTAGAAAGCACAGACGGAAAACGTCAGTACATATTTCAGGATTTAGAATTCTTTTCTCTTTGCCTTGATTTATGTTAGAAACGTGATGTGTTAGTGAAACGGCAACGGCATCCGGTAGGAAGAAAAGCGGGTTGTTTTTTCCAAAGAACTGGGGACTAATTTTTTAATTTATAATCTATTACAATCCGTTTCGATTTGACATTTTAAAGATATTCGCGAACTCATAACGATTATCACGCTACATTATGTAACACGTGATAGCGATTGGGATCGCTACATTTTCTTGACGGATTTTAATGCCTACGTAGTGTATAACGCCTTAATAAAAGTTATGCAACGTGTAGAACATTTTCTATTTATAAATAAAAATCCAAGATTTTAATACACCTTTGGAACCTTAGCAGTCCAACTAACTAAACCTCTTAAAGACGATGAGTACATTCTGGTGACAAAAGGCAATTGATTTTTTAAGTAACCCTCTATTTGTAAAATGGGAATCATTGCTTTTTTTTCTTATTCTTCTCATGGTATTAATCAACATTAAATAGGTCTTACAATAACACTGAAACTTATTAATGACATGCTGGGAGTAACTCCACGCGGTGAAGACGGTAACAGTTAAATACTGGCTGAATTCCCATTATTGTAGTTTATGATATTTGCTGATAAACAATCCAAGCACAAAATAAAATATGGAGAAACCCCGTAAGTCAGTAAAGATGGTGTTTCCAGAATAAGTAATGAAAAATTCTGTGCTCTTTTCATTCGGCCCAAATTTATAGTTACGTTAAAAATATGAATTGGTTCAAATACTTAAAAAACATATTTTATTGTTTACTGTAAAATTTTGCCCCCCGGGGGGGCTGCCCCCCCTGCTCTCACTACGCTATGCCACTGGACATTACAAGGGACATATTCCTAACTCTAGAAGCCCTATTATTCCTAACCAAAGTTGGTATTAATTATTATAATAGCGGAGTCAGGGCTTTCAATAAGTTAAATACGAATGAACGAAACTTATGATCGTTGAGTGACTGTTTTCAATCAAATATTTCATCTGCGTTCAAAATAGAAAATCATCATTTCGAATTTAAAATGTATGCAAAATACACTATCTTTTGTTATTTTTGGTGATGTTTGGTAAAAAGCATATTTTGTTTTGTTATAAAAAAAACAAAAATACCTATTCCATTACTATAACATTTATATGGGACCACCTCGGGCCCATAAGCAGTCTAATACAAAAAAATATCGGTCATTAATTGGCGGCAAATTCGGTTTACACACATAAAGAAAAACATACATCGTCGTCAAAATACAAGCTCCTTTTGAATAGAATAGAATAGGTTTTTATTTGGCAACACACAAATGATTTTAAAGTCGGTTAAACAGTATGCAATTGTTTGTTGCGTAGTAAGAAGTCCTTCAAAATAGCAGCTCTTCTGATGTATGCTTTTAATTAACTGATTTTATTGAAAAAAAATGGTACAACAAATATGGCCAGTTTATAATAACCATTGAAATGTTACCATTCGTACTACTTTTATGAAAATAACAAAAAAATAATAGTTACGTACGTGACCATTATTAATGCGCTAATGTATGTAAATAATTTGATTCAGACTTCAGATAATATTCTTTACTTTTATATTCTGCAAAATAGCATTAGGTTCAGGAAAGAATAATAATTAATATAGTTCATACAATCACATATGTCTAAATGTGTTAATAATTGGGAAAAGAAAAAAAGGAAACCCTATTTTATTATATATTAAAAAACATAATATTTTGTACGTTATATACTTATAATAAGGGGTATAAGACACGATTTTTACATTGACGACGGCGCAGGTCAGTGTAAAAATCCCGTCTAATAGTAGTTATTATAAGTATTTAATAATGCAGCGCGATAGTTTAAAAGTTTAATTATTTTAATGTTTTTTTTTAACAGATCAATCGTCATTATTCTTTAATGAATAAAAATGGCTTTACTCTGTACTATCTGTATCCTCCGCGCAAAATCTTCCCTTCCTATGGGAAGCTTTTTTCACCTACGGGTGATTTTTTAAAATCGGATCCCATAGCTTAGATGTCTATACGATGCAAGCAATCAAATCTCTCAAGCAAAAAAATATGAAAAAAAACCGTTTTCTCTATAACAAAGTCAGAGCAAATAACTACACATCTGATTATAAATGGTAGTGAAATCTAACCGCGGAGATAGGTCAATGATGTCACAACTTTTTACTGATTGAAAATAATGTTAATTATTAGTCATAAAACAATATCATTACCTAAAAATGAATCGTCAAATACCTAGTTGCCCTATCAATTATAATCAAAGACTAATTTGCGTTATCTGATATTTATTATGATTACTGATATAAGTTGAAGCGATTGTCCTGTCACAAAATGGCCGTTACCAGGCGTGGATATATCTTCTGTGCGTTTTTATTAAGTGTATTGAGTGTTTTGCTAACGGTTATTGCAATATCTAGCGATCATTGGGTAAGTAAACATGATTTTTATTGGTTACCATGTGAGTTGACGTACGTCGTTGTGACCAAAATTCAGTAAATCTTAAGATAAATTAATGTTCAGAATTTATAATTATGTACAGAGATCATATAGGGTAGATATCCCGGTTTTGGACAACTTAAGAATATGACATGATTTTGGCCACTTTAAGAATTATGAGGAAAGGAATTAGACACATCACAGATGTCTACGTTATTAGTTTTGCCGCAATGCAATATTTAATAACCTTTCATGGTAAAGGAATATACATATTTGCCTATGCGTTAGTAAGAACGTCTTGAACAGCCAAATGGCCAAAACCAGGTCTTCTACCCTAGATTGTATTTTACGATTATGGATAAGTTCCGTTACTTTTATTGCAACGCCTACTTTGTTCCAGATAGTATCGACAGCGACTCTTGATAATCAAGTAGCAGACAGTACTATACAATATGGATTATTCCGTGGAGAATTGGTCCTTAACACTTTGCAAACCCCGAGCTTCAGTGTTCTTTATAGTAAGTATATTATGAGAAGAGAAAGGAACGCAAAAATCTTATTATTATGAACGATTTATTATAGTTAGAGAATAAATTGCTCATTTTTAATTTAAAGAAAATGTCGACAAGATTTAATATAAGGAGAAGATCTTATGAAATTTTACCTATGATAGATAGTTTGCTACAATCAGAAACATAAATTTCAATAATCACAAAAATGACTCTAAATAGGTTTTTTGGATCGATTTTACGGCTAGTATATTTTAATCTTAACTATATAAAAAATATAGTTTTTGATTTATTATTTATTATAGAGATTAGAATGTCAAATATAAATACATATATCGTATTCCCGGAACAAATGCTTTAAGGTATTTACCTATATAATATTGTTGATGAGTAGTCTAAACTCTTTTGTATTTATAGTGACTTGCGTACCCGATGTAAGCGCTTGTGCTGTAAGCTGTAAAACGGAACCGGAAGCAAGGGAAATAGAGGTAACTAATACGTAACACCACCCATATTACAGTAGGTACTAATAATACTTTACCTTAAATAATTGTAAGTACATATAAATTAAGATTAACGCAATGGGTTAACCCATTCATTGCCTCTTCAAATAGAAAATATTACTACCATGCTGCCAAAATGGCAGCATGGTAGTAGTCAGACCTCCCATAGGCGGATCTTGAATCTCAATAAAGTATCCTTACCCTCTGTTTCTGATTTAAGGCTTTCGATTTCAAAATTACTTGACCATGTATATTTGACGAACGAAGCGTCGCGTCGATCGCGGAACGTTATAACCACTGATATATATAAGAAATATAAAAGTATTCTAACTTCATGGTCATATACTATAACTGACCTCTACGCCAATGAAACTGAAAAATTATATAATATGACATTCGAACTTGCATACTCAAAGAAAATTCCGTGCGTACTGACTGCATACTTCCGTCAGTTTTTCGAAGGATCATTCCTCAGATTTACATCGACCTTGTAGTAAAATAATAAAAAAAATATTATGATAAATATTAATTGAAGAAAATAATTTTTCACTTCTAATTGTACGTATCACCATCAATTAATCAATCATCAGTTTTTAATTTGGGGTTGATTGTTCTTCTAACCTTCAGATCAAAAGTTTACTTGATGCGCTTGAAGTGTTAATTATTTACTTTATTTGATTATAAAATGGGTTTTTAATAAAGCTTTTATTCGAGATTGAATGATCGCTTGGAAAAGTGATCGGTATCAATATCCTAATTGTTTTGTAGGTGCGAGCATTAGCTCAAGGACACAGGCCTTCCACACCATGCGCTTCTGTCACAGAGGTAGACACGACCAACCCATGTGAGTGATCTTATTATTATCAAGGACTGTCCTCATTGATAGCCTAGGACTTAGGATATCTATCATTTGAAAATTATTCTCTATTTTTACTTATTTTTTTAGAGAAATTCATAATTTTAACGATATCTAATTCAAACTATTAAACAAAATTAACCGCGAATTTTTTATAATCCGAAAAATGTAATAATTAGATGGTCGCTGAAATATTTAGATATTTAGATTATGTAGGTGTCAGAACCTACATAATCTAAATATTTGGGCATTGTCAAAGGTGAAAATGTGTTTTACCAACGACAAGGAGCTACTTAAACGAGTATAAGCAACACATAAAATCGTGCGTTATGCGGCACCTAGCGCTGGGTATTTGCGCAATATGACATATACATTTACTCTTTGGTCAAAACGGGTCTGTCAAGGGGTAAAATCAATTTAGTAAGTTGGAATCTAAATATATGATTTGGATTAAGATATAAACAATGAGATTTTTAGAATTTTTGGACTTGTTTTAATGGACGATGACGACTTGGGTGCTCGTGTAAATACAAGACCACATATATTTTTTCTTGTTTAATTATCTCAAAATATATATATTTTTATTGCTATCTCTTTACGTGTAAAGCCCCTAATGTGACATTGGAATTGTGAAAACGCAAATATGCCATACATTAAAAAAAAAGACAAACTTGCTTAGTAACGCATTACCTAACGTTGCAGCACGCGTAGCATGACAAACTCGAGAAATGCTTTGTCTACACTCATTTGTCAGTTTCTCGGATCGAGAATGAGATATTGTATGGGCGCACCCGAGAAAAGTGATATTTGAGTGAAAATAAAACGTTCTCGAGCTCGTCATGCTACGCGTGCAGGTTTGGTGAAATGTAAAATCTACTTAAGCAATTTTTAATATTAAGTGATTTCTAGTTAAAATATGCCTTGTTCTAGGTTAATGGAAACTGGTATTAATAGCTTAGATATTTCTGAAGAAAATATTTCATCCATTCACAGGATATATGCAGAAATACTTTGCGTTGTACATATCTTAAAAATGTTGAAATTAGAAGCTTAGCCTTTATTTCACTACGAATTAAAACAACATCACCATCATTACCCGTTAATGTTCTCACTGTTGGGGCTCCGGGCTTCTCTATAGATGAAAACCCACCACGGGTTCATTGCGTATTGATAGGTATAACGACTGCAGATGCAGTCTGGACCAACGGCTTAACGTGCCTTCTGGAGCACGGAGTAGATAATAAATTTTTGGTCATCCATCCTATGCTACCGTTGGGAAAATTGTTTAACAACCTTAATGCAGACAAGGTGCGCTATCACAATCTATACATTGCATTTGATTGTGTGAAAGGTTCTGATATTTTTTTTTTCACGCGATTAGATGGATTTTTTTTGATGAAATCTAACACACAGTTTGTTTAAAACTTTATTAACTTATTTAGTTTTAGTACCCTAAGGTTATTTAACGATCCAAAGCAATATATAAGTAGAAAAATACATATCTAAACTAGATATGTATACTTCTATATTAATATTATAAAGAGGAGAAATTTAATTGTTTGTTTGTATGTTTGCATCGAATGGGCTCCAAAACAACGGGACAGATTTTAAAAGTTATATCATACGGGGTTGATATTGGCTATAATTTACGGGTTAAAACAGTTAGTGTATTTTGATGTGATTATTTCCAGTGGCGAGGCCGCCGGTGATCAGTTTCGCGGTTTACGTGTGCACTTTACTGTTCATCTTCGTGATGCTGGTGTTCAATGTCATCTCGGCTGGTTTAGCTATCATCAACGCTACTATGAACCCTACTGAACCTATACTTGGTCTACCAGGTACTTACTATAAATGTTTATGAGTCATAAGTCATTTAGGTACCAGGGGTGGATTCTGAGGTGGGAAATAGGACAAAATTTTTAAACGATTTAAATCGCCATACACTGATGAAAATTTATTTTCACGAATTGCGCGAAAATTAACCTGTAATTCGTTACTGATTTATGTAAATAATTACGCTAAGAAATGGTAAATTTTAGAAGTACATATGTGTTTTTTTTTGAAAAACAATTTATACAATTGTCTTTTTGACTGCGACTAAATCCCAAATATAATGTAGTTTTCTTATTATTAATAAAAAAAAAACTAATTGGATGAGCGACAAAACTTAATTATCCCGACCTCCATGAAAGTGACTAGCGAGCCGGTTTCATGCGTCGTTATAGGTACCAAGTTATGTAAAACTAAATTAGGTTAAATAATATTAGATATGAATTAATTCATGAAAAATATTATAGGCAATAAATGGTTGTCATTAATTTCTTATAAATTTTATCGATATTGTTTTGATAAACATCAATAGAGTGATAGATAACATTTTTTATTTTATCTTGACATATAAATCGTTAAATGCTTATAAGGCATTCCAGTTTGTTATGTAATTTGATCTACATAAGTCAGCTCTGCTTAAAAGATGATAAATCTTGCTTGTTTCATGTAAAATTAGAAATATCTCCTGAAATTTATCTATGGGATAACTGCCTAAAAATCTATTGCAATCCCTTTAAAAGGAATAGCGATTGTCATAACGAATTAAGGTATCATGAAACGTTTAAAATCTGTTACGTTAAGCTTTAAGTCAATAATAAAAATACGAAATTTGCAACACTTTTGGAACGAATGATGGTTTGAATGATCAAGAAACTCGTTTCTAACCCGTCGTTCGTGAATATCATTGTAATATGAAATTGAAAGGGAACGCGATAATTTTTAAAATTAGAGAATAAGGCCTCATGTTCGATCGCTTGTTCAAAGGAACTATGTGTGTTTTATGATATAATCATACGTATCTAACAGAATCAATATCAGAGTTTTATCTTGTTAAATTATAAGGATGTTGTACCTACATGTAGAAAGCCCAGCAGTTCTTCGGTGTATCCGTGTAATAATAGCCATTGCTTACATTGTACTATAACCAATTTTGACAGCACACAACTTTGCACTTTTTAGTTGGTGTATTTATATTTTACTTGTTTTGTTTGTTTTATTTTGTGCTTATGTTGTACATTATAAAACAAACGAACTAAATGCTTATCTATTCTAATTTTGGTAAAAGATATAATTGTTTACTGGATTTAATTTGCCGAAGAATATCAAAAGCTAGTACAACATGCGCACCATGCACATTTGAAGGTTTTTTACTGGCACTAGAGGTGTACCACGCACAAATCTATCAAGTTACGAGGTATCAATAAAATATCAATCTGAAGCAAACCAATGAAGTTAAATGGCAGATAATTTTTATTTACATAAAATTATCATTTCTCTACCTCAGGTTGCCTTTGGTCGAATATTGTGGCGTCGTGTCTCGGCGTTGTGGTGATGATGATCTTCGGCATATACTGGACCACGTCTGGCTTGAAAGATCACTTGGCTTTCTCTTATATATCGGTTGGTCCGTTCGATCCAACTCCTGCACTAGGATACTCTTATTGGTTAGTATCTACATCAAGATGTGGAATTATAATGTTGTGTGTGGTACTCAAGTATGTTGAAATATTATTAAGTTTATATACCTACCTATATGTTATATTAACAATGTGTTCGATTTAAAAATTCTATTCCGCATGATGTTACTATCTAGAAATAATGTATCAATCGATGGGTTTGGGTTAGAGCTGTAATGAAAACAATAAGTGAGTGTGTGTCAGCGGGCAGAGCGACTGAAGAGTGCCCAAAAGATACACGTTATTATATTTATGTATAAGGAACTTTTAAACATCACTATCAGTAGAGTAATAATGCTTAAAAATTATACGTGAGCTGTTATGTGTAAATAGTGTCATGCGTAAATATAATTAGGGCAAATAAAACGATGCCATTTCATATTGTACTGGCGCCCGCGTGGACATATAAACCTTCCTCATGTACCACTGTATATTAAAATTCGGTTTGTAGTTCAGTATACAGTTTACACATACCGGGAAGTGACTATATTATATAGATTATATCTTAAAATTTGAAATCTGCCTAAGAAATAATTTTTTAACGCTTATGTTCAAAAAATCAAATCAAAACGCAAATATAATCTATTTTCCTATTGGTCAGTTAACCGTAGGACTGCAAGTTGATAGGTATTATACTAAGTTGGTTTTTAGCAATATTTCAACGGCATATACCTAATAATGTATACCTATGGTTATCGTCATATTATAGCTTTTTCTGTTTATTAGAATTAAAATAAAACTACTTTCAACGGATAAAACACGTTTATATTTGATCATTTTAAGACGTTTCGGATACTTAACAATGTCCGTGTTCACTTAGATAAAATTTAATGAGTAGTACGCGTGAAGATACATATAAGAAATTAGTATTGAATAAAATTTACCCGTATTCTTATTTATAGAATCTATTTTATTATGTCCCTCTATTTTATTTGAACTTGAACGAATAGAATGAATTTTTTATATATTTTTTTCAGGTTACTAATAGGAGCGATCCTGTGTTCCGTTACAAATGTCGTGTTGATTCAAGTAAGAGCTTATCTACTAGAAAGAAGCCCTCCTCCTCCCACAATACAGGTTGAGAATCACTCGGATGGCACAATGTTTTTGTATTAAATTATAGCGGTTTTAAGAAAAGAGTGTAATGTGAGTTGTTAAAAGATGATTTGAAAATATTTTGAATACAATTTAATTGTGTTGTAAATAAAAAATGACACTTAAAACTGATCCAGATATGTTTTTGAATGATAAGGAATTGATAAAAAAAAACAAAACGTAAGTTATTTTTTAAGATGTAATTTATTTTATTAAATATTTTAATAATAAAAGATTTTAATATACTTATTTTATAAAATTTCTTCTTCTTTAATGGTTACTTTTAAGAGTGTCTTGAGATACTTTAAATTCTTATCACCACGATTAATGGACCATTTCAAGCGTATATTAATGGCACAGACCATGGTTCTTAGTCTTACCATTAGTTCTATAACGCGATCCAATAGCTGTAATCGAAGTAATATTGTGTTAGGTATATATGCATACAGGATAAGAAAAAATATTAAAGGCCTAATTGTCTAATTTTAAAGTCTATCGCAATCCCTTGCAATTTGACATTCTGAAAGATATTTACGATCTTCACCCTACGACTATTTGTCATGTGATAGCGACTGCAACTACTTTGAAACTATTGAGATACCATTATTTCATTAACATAAGCATTGTTATCCTGAGAAGATTCACTTTACTTCTCTTGTTCATCGCATTCGAGAGTTCGTGGTAAGTCCCTTCACTATGTCGTTCAAAACACCCTTTTGTTAATTGCCAAATTGTAATGTCGTACCTAATTACTGATTCTGTAATAAAGATCTTGTCCACGTTTTTGCTGCTTTTCCTCGGCACATGGACTCGTGAAGTAGGATTTACGATTACAAAGTAATAATAAGTATTGCGGCAGTTATATTAGCCTGTCCTGCGTGGCGTCCACGGGCTTAGCTACTATTTTTGATACTTTCGCTCGACACGTGAGATAGGCTTCAAGCTGCATTTACATTTAAACTGCTTCGCCCCATCTAGTACGGTTTGGTTACTTTTATTGCTTTCTTGCCGAGTTTCTCGCCTGTTCTTCTCGGTACGAGGTTTCCTGCAGTCGATTTATGAACGATCGCATTGAGTTTCGCTTTCCACAAGTGCCTGCAACAGCTTAAACTGAATAAAGGGTTTTGATTAGATTTAACTTATGTATTTATTATGGGAGTGGTTATATTAGCTCCGGTCTGATTGTCGAGCAAATGTATGAAAATTAATACCTTCAACCCGTAGCGTCACGCGGTGTTATGTAACTGTGTTAAAATATAACCGCTGATTAATTTAGAAAAAATATGATAATTTGACTTTGTTTGAGGATTAATGTGGTCAATTTCAAAAATAAATAGGCGTTGTTTCTAACATGTAAACGAGTAAGCAAAAGCTAAACAAATATTCCTCAATCACTGTGTAATAAACCCAAACTAAGACGTTCTATAATATAGTCATCGTCTTGATCTTCAAACTAATTGTGTTCTCTGTTGAACACAACAAGTCTAGATGATACAAAACCTCCTTTAATTTCTGATATCTATGCAAAACTTTACAAGTATATGTGTTCTTCAAATCCGAATACAATTATCATTATATATCTACAAAGGCGCTTTTTGAATTCGAGCAAGCATGAGCTGGCCATATTTTTAACCGTATAAGTAAAATAAGCTCGGTATTCACGATAAGAAAGTTTGAGAATCCTTATAGTAACCTTTATAAGTGTAAATGGTTTTGTAAGATATTGTGTAAAACATTCGATGTTGAGGATGTTAATAAAAACCTTGCCGACTGTTTTTAAAGTAGCTATTATCTACATAAGTAATATAAGTGTATAATAATGCTTCTTACTCTTTTAAAGCGCCGAACTCCATTAATTTACCCTTAAAAAGTTTATTTAGGCTAGGCTTTTACGAGGTAACAATTCACAAATCGACGACAGGAGACCTTGTAGAAGAAAGAAAGAAACAAGAAAAACAAAGGAGTTCCACTTCGTTTTAGCAACGTTAATGTATATATTCTTTGTTTTAGCTAAAATATTAATCATGTTTTTATTCCGGATTAACAGTTATACTAAGGCAGAAGTTGAGCGGTTTATATAATTAATATTAATAGAATTAATATAATTTTAATTAATTTCGCGTGATCTTATGGCACCGGTCGTTTGCCGCTTAAAAATAGTTTATTATATACAGAAGTTTTAGCAAAATTTGATTTCTTTTTCATATCGATAATATTTTAAAAAATCACATTCAGACAGAGATTATCGAAATAAGATGTATTAAATCGTTGTCGACTAAAGCTTATTTGGAAGTTACTTATCTAATTACCAAGCAGCTGAACGAACCAAACAAAGCGAAAAGGAAAATAAGTTTAAAATCTATTCCGTTTCCTTTTCATTTATAATTCTTCTTTTCTCATTTGTATTTCTTACTAGTTTCGTTAACAACAAGCTATACATTAGTAATTTATCCTTCGCTGGTTTTGAGATTGGAACACCCACTTTTGCTATTTATTTATCTATCATTTGTCTCAATTAGCTATGATACAATGAGTCTGTATTTATCATTTACCTAACAAAAGGCTTTGTTTAGGTGTAGGCGGATCGTTTATTCAAATCCATTCAAATCTGTAGATTGAAGTGTATATTCGATATTCTATTTGTTTTATAGTTTGTTCAATTGAAAATCTCAATTATAATATCTCTATTACATAAGTTTAGTAAAGAACCTATATTATCTGTTAACGCATGCAATAAATTTCAGAGATAAATCGAGATGTAAAAAAATATGATCCTACTTAAAACAGTGAATTTCTGTAAAGGAGTTGTTTCCTACAATTTATGATGCCGTGATCAAGATTTTGTGTTGTGTTGTATAATTAGTCATAGACTAACGACATTATAAGACTAAGAAAATCTGACGTCACCCTTTTTGTTACCTTTCCCTTTTTGTTACGGATCTGAGTGTCCCCATCGTGCCATAATGGTGGCCCTTGCTTATTAAAAGTTTTTGAACCGGCACGATTGATTTGGTTTAAGTGAAAAGTTCAAATTATATTGTATACTTACAGCAGTTGATTAAATAATATTTACATTACATTCTTTTGTTGTAGTTTAGTTTCAGCTATTATAGACCATATTAGACCGAACTTTTAGTTTGAGCCGACTCCCCAAATTAAATAGCTGCCATTGTCATCAGGATTGGTTATAGATGCAGTCCGTATCAACGACACGAGATAGTAGATTTTGGTTACCAATCCAATGTTGAAGGTTACTTATTAAGCTTTGATGGATGATATATTGATACTGTTTTCTAGAAAAAATACCGAAAATACTATAGGAATTCCACCTCGGGCACCTGTTATTTATCCTACAAGATAAATAGAATTATTTTTTGGAGACACCTTGTAATCGGATAGTTTTGGAACACATATTTAAATAAGATGTATTCGGACACTCATGTGTACATAAAATAAATTCCTGTATAGAAGACGTTATAGGTAGAGTCATGTGGGTGTGCGCAGTGGGTAATGTCCTCATAAATAATAATTTAAAAAATCGAATACAGGTGTGCATGCCTCCACCTCTTAGTACTTCTTCGGACACAGGTGCGACGTCCTAGTGTTTTGCATAACCAAACCAATTAACAAATCTAGCGTACATTACTTTAATTTATTTTTAATTTAACGTTTTGAACAGAAAATTCACATTCTTGCCCCAAACCCACGTGATATCTGTCAATATTTGCAATAATTTTTAAACGTTTTTTGTTGATAACTGCTTTGAATATCAATCACAAAAATTTGTGCTTTTGGGGTAAAACTGGTAACTTTAACATAAAATCAAAAGGCCGTAGGTTGCCAAAACCTTAATGAAATAGCTGACACGACTAATCCGGCTTTAACTTCACTTGATTAGGTTTTTACTGAGATACTATTATAAAATCAATTAAATTTCCTTGTTATGAAGGCGATGGATTATACCTAAATACCTACTTCTCATAGTACTAATTATAGTGTTTCACTTAAAGGTTTTGTAAAACATAATAAAATAAAGCTATGACAGGATATCCGTGGGGCTGAATAAAAAATACTTGGATAAACTTCATTATGTTTTTCGTTATATTAAAAAACTGTAATAAAAAGATACAATAACATATACAAACATTTAATAATATTCAAAAATTACGAATAAAGAATTAAAGATTAATCGAAAACGACATTTAAGATCAGATACAAAAATAAGTTAAACCTAAGAAGATGTGTGCGTTGTACGCACCGTTACAAGTTGAAATATTTTCTTTCTCTTGAGATATCGCAGCGAACACGTGTATCACGTTCTTGTGACAAACTGGTGTATCAAAGTTCCGTGTTTTAAAAAAGAATATACGTGATTCAAACATATAAAGAATAATACCGTGACATTTCACCTTAATATTAAACGACGTTAATTATTGTAGGTACAAGGTAGGTACTGTACAAAGTGAAACAGACATATTATGTATCAGTTTCGTAGTTTTGTTATTTTGTACCACATTGGTTATACTCTTTGAAACTTTCCGTGAAACTCTAAAAATACAAATGTACCTCTTCGAAAATATTGTAAAAGAGCAGAGTACATAAAATATTCATATTATGTAAAATGCTGCAGGCGGTCAAAAGAATACAACTTTACTCGAACTATTCTTATGAGAGAAAAACTTCCTTTTCTCCGCGTTTGATATTGAGAACGGCAGATGTCCGCTATTTCGTACTACAGTTGTTTTTACACAATATATGAATGGAAAAATATTGCTATCGAATAAATCTTCAGACTTTTGTACTGTATTTGAGTTTTGCATTTTTTCAAAGGTTTAACCTTACAATAGTAGGAACTTTCGAAATTTATTGCATACTGTTTACCTACGTTTGCATATTAGGCAATTTATTTCAATATTTTGTTGCGTAAAATTACTACTCGTGAAAGAATGGGGTTTAAGTTTAGATTAAATAGATATTTTAGTATAAATAGATTAAAATTGTGTCCAAAAAAATTAAGCCGAGCGAGCGTATCGCAGCAGCTGTCAGTGAATAGCAAATACAAGTTATTTTTATGAA